AATTGCTTTTTACAAAATGTTCTTGGGTATAAAGTTATATACTTTACTACCTATGATGAAATGGTGATTAAAGGTGCACTGTGTAACATGAATGGATTTGGTTTTTGGAGGGTCTGCCACCTTCTGTCTCCATCCGAAATGTAATTTTTTTTTGTCTAGAAAATTCCACAATATAGATTAAACCTGTCAAATAAGCAGGTTACAGCACTACACTACATTACAGTTCAGATCTGTGGAGAGTCATCCTTGTTCACAGAAGGAATTATTGTATTTTTGATCAACAAAAACACCCGTAATGAATAAATGCTAGATCAGGGGTCAGCAACCTGCGGCTCCAGAGCTGCATGTGGCTCTTTCGTCCTTCTATTGTGGGTCCCTGTGACTCTGGAAAATAAATAATGAGTATTAATAAATTACAATGTATTATTATTATTATTATATTATTTATTTATTTATTTATTTTATTGATGTATTTATTTATATTTATTTATAATTTTTTTTTATTCGATTGGGACAGAGCATGTTAATGGACAAACATGACACAACACGAATGTAAACACACCAGATTGCAGCCTATTTAATTCAATAGACTTAGTAAAGGTCTAATTTCATAACAGGAGTCAGTACGAAGTTCACATTCTGAACACGTCCAGAAGAATTGACACAAATAATCACATGCTTGTACAGATCTAAAGTACAAGGTTAGCAGTTTTTGTGCATAAAATTGCAGTCTTTGTGATCTATAGTCTGATGTATAGTCTGATGAATAGAGTATAGCAGGGGTCACCACAATTATTTTCTTGTTTGTTCATTTTTAAATTTAATTCTGAATTTGTACATAATGATTATCTTGTAACATTAAAATAAAAAATGACCGCATATATGAATGGACATATATTCTCTGTAGCATTTTCTTGAGTTCATAAATGCAACACACAATAGTCTTTTATACTGAGCATACGGGTAAAAACAAATTATATGCAGTATTATTATATTATTATGTTATTATGTTACGTTGTATGTCAAGGGGGTTTTGTGGTTTTCGTTTCTGTGGGAGACGGTCCAAATGGCTCTTATTTAAGGAGTATTTAAGGTTGCTGACCCCTGTGCTAGATGGATGTTTGTTTTTTGGTTTTTTTTTTTAGTAATGCTTTTGTGCATTTATTTTATTATTTTTGTTCACTGATTTTATTATTATTATATTATGTATTGATTCCATCAGTTTCCTCAGGGTTGGAACATAATTCATATTTTTTTGTATTTATTTATTTTTTTAAGTAAAGTTAAATGTTGTATGAAACACTTTGGACACTGTCTTGTTTATAAAATGTGCTATGTTAATTGCTGTAATGTTTCATTCCATGTTTGGTAAATTGTCAGTCTGTGTACATCTCCAAAGCTCAAAATGCTCTGTTCCACCTTGTGATGTCATGAAGCTGTAGTTTTCAAGTTACCAGCTCCTTTTACCTTTTGTTTAGTGGAGATTGGCATTTCCAGAGCTGAAATTATCAAAATGATTCTAGTGAAGGTGATTGGAGTTTGAAGATATTACCAAGATGGTTTTCCATTTAAGAGAAGAACTCAGTCTAAATATGCAGGATTTGTGTAGCGGGGCTGGCGCCACCTAGTGCCTCCACTTGATTACATTTCTCTCCAGCGACTAGGTCAGGAATCAAAATACACTAAACGATTCGCAAAAACCCCGGAGGTGCGAGTTCGGGCACCAGCCAATCAGCGAAGAGCCGTATATTCGGTGTTGTCAACAATTCCAATTCCAATAAAGAGAATGTTTGGTGAATTTTATCTAGGGGAAAGACGTTATTGCCCTTCTTCCTACAGGATTTGGGAAAAGCTTAATATACGAGTTAACCCCATTAGCGGCGCATTACATATGTCATGACCAAATAGCAACGATTGGTTAAATGAAAAAAGTACCCACCTACTGTCGAGTGAACTAATTTTAATGCTGTGAGGTCAAACGGTTTCCACAAAGTGAAACCGTCTGATGAATCAGGCTAGAATCTGTGAGTTAAACATATGAAAATGAAACACAAATCCAGGTCTGCCCTTTAATGTATTATTCTACTTAAAGATGCACTGTGCAACTTTTCCGGTGGAGTTTCTGTCACATGCTTTCCTCCATGGAGATGTTATTGCTTTGCTTTTGCCCGAAATGTCCCACAGTATGGCATTAAACCTTTCGATCTTTATAGAAACCAAACAAGACCAAGTTACAGGTCAGATCTGCGGAGAACCAAGCGCAATCACAGTCTGAATGTGGGTTTTCTAGGTATTTTTGAGATATAAATACACTTGTAATTGAATAAATATAAGGTAAAGTTGTTTAAAGTCATACTGTGGAACATTCTGGGCAGGCAGCAGGCGACGGACCCTCTACCAGAAAGTTTCAGTGCAGATTTAATGTTAGTGCTTCTACGATTCTCATATCTAATAACATTTCTCGTACATGAAGACAACTTAATAACCGTTTTGCCTTTGAACGCATCCTTCTCTTTAATAAACCATTACACTGAGTATTACTTGCGATGGATATACACACACGATTTACAATTGCGGTTTAATTTTCCTCGGAGATAAATAAAACGATCGATGAGCGTTTCACATTCGGACTTCTCCTGGTAACAGCTCCATTAGGACGCAGCATTAGCCTATAGCACTTACGTACGCGAGGTATTTATGGTGCGCGGCAGGACGCAATTACTGCTACCGTCACGTACGCCTCACACGTCCAGAGCAATCAAGAAAAAAGAAAAAAAGGATTTTATTTTCATTTCGTTTTAAGTTATGATGGTTAATCAGTGAAGGGCTCTTGACTGCAGACATGACAATTATTCTTCTCGTCTTTCTCTCTTTTCTCTTCTTCTGCTCCCTCTCTCCATTTCTCTGCCTGTCGTATTTTCACTCTTTCACTCACCTCACCTTGCCTCCTTTTCTTTCTCTCTCCTTGTCTCCCTCTATCTGTCCTCTTTTTTACACCCATTCCCTCTCTCCATCCCCCTTTCTTTTCTTTCTCCCTCTCTTTTCTCTCTCTCTCATCTCATCCTCTCTCTACCTTTTCTCTCTCTCTCTCCATCTCTCTACACTCTCTTCTTTCCTTTTTTACTCCACCCCTCTCTCTCTTTCTTTTTTCTTTATTTCTTTCTTTCTCACCCTTACCTTCACCTCTATCTCTCTTTCTTTTTATCCTTCCTCTTCATGCTGCTTCCATCTTTTCCTTTCTGTGTTCTCCTCTCTCTCTCTCTCTCACCTTTTCTCTCTCTCCATCTCCCCATCCCCACATTCTCTCCTCTCTTCTTTTCCCATTCCTCTCTTTCTCTCTCTTTTGTTTTTCTTTCTCTCTCTTGCTTATCCCGTCCATTTTTTCTCTCTTCTTCCTTTCTCACTCTCTTTATTTCTTTCTTTTTACCCCTCTTTCTCTCCCCTCTCCTCTTTTCCCTCTCTGTCCCTTCCTTCCCCCTCTCTCTCCACCTTTTCTCTCTCTCTCTATCTCCCCACACTCTCTCCTCTCTTCTTTTTTCACTCCACCTTCTTCTCTTTCTTTCTTTCTTACTCACCCTCTCCTCTTTCCTTTTTTCTACCCTCCTCTCTCTCTATCTCACCCTTTCTCCACCTTTTCTCTCTCTATCTCCATCTCCCCACACTCTCTCCTCTCTTTCTTTCTTTCTTTCTTTCTTTCTTTCTACCCCTCCTCTTTCTCATCCTCTCCTCTTTCCCTTTCTCTATCCCCCTCTCTCTAGTTGTCCCTTTCCTTCCCACCTTTTCTCTTATCTTCACCACCTCACTCTCTACTCTCTTCTTTTTTCACTCCACCTTCCCCCCTCTCTCTCTTGTTTTTCTTTGTCTCTCTTGCTTATTCTCTCTCACTCTCTTTATTTCTTTCTTTTTACCCCTCTTTCTCACCCTCTCCTCTGTATGCTGCTTCCCTCTCTCCTTTTCTCTACCGTTCTCACTCTCTCTCTATCCATCTCTTCCCTCCCCCACCTTATCTCTCTCCATCACATCCTCTCTCCACCTTTTCTCTCTCTCCATCTCCCCACACCTTCTCCTCTCTTCTTTTTTCACTCCACCTTCCTCTCTCACTCTCTCCCTCTTGTTTTTGTTTGTCTCTCTTGCTTATTCCTTCCTTCCCTCCTCTTTCTACTCCGTCTCACTCTCTCTATTTCTTTCTACCCTCCTCTTTCTCACCCTCGCTTCCTCTCTTTCTCTCTCTCTGTTTTTCTTTGTCTGTCTTGTGTATCCCTTTCTTTCTCTTCCCCTCACTCTCTTTATTTCTTTCTTTTTACCCCTCCTCTTTCCCTTTCTCTACCTTCCTCTCTCTCCTCCCTCCTCCACCTTATCTCTCTCTCCATCACACCCTTTCTCCACCTTTTCTCTCTTTTCATCACATAACACTCTCTCCTCTCTTCCTTTTTCACTCCACCCTCTCCTCTTTTTTTCTTTCTTGTTTTTCTTTGTCTCTCTTTCTTATTATCCTTTCTAGCTTCCTCTCACTCTTTCTTTCTTTTTTATCCCTCATCTTTCCTTTTCTCTACCCTCTTCTCTCTTTATCTGTCCCTTCCCTCCCTCACCTTAACTCTCTCTCCATCACACCTTTTCTCCACCTTCTCTCTCTTTTCATCACCTCACACTCTCTCCTCTCTTCCATTTTCACTCCGCCTTTCTTTCTCTCTCTCCTTCTTGTCTTTCTTCGTCTCTCGTGATTATCCCTCATATACCCTCCTCTCTTCTCCACCTTTTCTCTCTCTCCATCTCTCCATCTCTCCTCCCTCGTTCCCGCGGTCAAGTACGTTTTACAGCCCCCGAAGCAATAAAGAAAAAATGGAAGATATCGAAGGATTTTATTTTAACCTTTTCAATAATTCAGTACAAAAATAAAAGTACAACGGACAATTTGTGGACTGTTTATTTACTTTACAAGCCCGCAGAGTCTGGGAGGAGAGGAGAAAGTAGATCACCCCCCCCCAAACGAAGGCGCAGAGTTAGAAATAGTTGGCCACCCGTCTCACAGACTGGATGTTGGGCGTCTCTCCCTGCCAGTCCTTCGGGGAGCTGAAGTTTCCTCTCTCCACGATGTACATGCGGCCCCGATAGTTGGGATCTTCGTACAAAACCCAACTGTGAGGATGAAGAAAAGAGACGATGGTCAAATGTGGCAGGAGTCATCAAACTTAGGCCCACGAGCCGACTCTGGACCGTCACCACTTTTGGGCAAGTTACTTCAAAATGAGTTATGTGTATGAGTTACTTGTTTATTTATTACACGACTACTGGAGTACTTTTAGGTTACTCTCACCAAAATAACTGTGCGAAAATGCTGATGCTGAATTTTAGAACCACAAATGGACTGAACCAGGGCTAAACCAGAGCTGAAACAGGACTGAACCAGGACTAAACCGAGCACTGAACCAGGACTGAAACAGGACTGAACCAGGACTAAACCGAGCACTGAACCAGGAGGGCTGAACCAGGACTAATCCAGGACTGAACCAGAGCTGAACTAGGACTAAACCAGCACTAAACCAGGACTTAACCAGGACTGAACCAGGACTAAACCGAGAACTGAACCAGGACTGAACCAGGACTAAACCAGGACTAAACCGAGAACTGAACCAGGACTGAACCAGGACTGAACCAGGACTAAACCAGGACTAAACCGAGGACTGAATCAGGAGGACTGAACCAGGAGTAAACCAAGACTGAAACAGAGCTGAACCAGGACTGAACTAGGAGGACTGGACCAGGACTAAACAAGGACTAAACCAGGACTAAACCAAAACTGAACCAGGACTGAACCAGGTCTAAACCAGGACTAAATAAGAACTAAATCAGGACTAATCTTGGACTAGGACTTGGAATCTAGGACCATTCCTGAGAGAACCCCGAGTCCGTGGAGCAGAGTGTCTGCAAAACGCGACTGGGCGTCAGCACCGGTACTTTCGCCCATGGTCACCTGACGGTCTGCGCGGACGCACCTCCAGGCCTGTCCCGTCATTCGGAACAGTAAAGACGGCGTTTCACCACTGCTGATATGAAGAAGAAACCCGAAAAAACATTACAGTAATTCTTTTACTTTACAGCATTACTTTTACTTTTACTTTTATAACGCGTTACTCCCAGCACGGCCCGCCACGCCCCTTTGACCCGCCCCCCCCAGCACCTCTGCCCCCACCACTTCAATCCTCAAAAGATGTCATGGTCTACTTTTTAAAATTGCTTTTTGGTAAATAATAACACATCTGCATCTTGTATTTTGTTGATTTTTTTCTATTTAAACTGATATTTATATGAAATATTTATATTTAAATAATTATATTACATATTTCATTTGCTGACGAATTTTCGTCACCTGACAAGATCAAACAGTGAGAGTCGACGCATGTGCAGAGTTCTATAGTGCAGTTAAGGACAGAAAAATGGCTGTTAAAGTACAAAAGGTTGGCAGAGAGTGCAGAGTTTTCAAAGAAGAGTGGGCGACCAATTATTTTTTTGCTCAGTTTAAGGACTGTGCGAAATACTTTTACTTTTTACTCTTTAAGCACATTTTTAAACAGATACTTTAATACTTGTATTTAAGTGATGTGATGTGATGCTTTTACTTTCACTTACTGTAACTACTTTTACTTAAATAACAAAACTGAGGAAATTAAGTAAGTCTAATTATGGATGGTTGCTTGTTGTACATGTCGTCGCTCGATGCTATAGTATCTAAGTTGCTGCAGATAGTTGGTCTGACAGAAGAAGACCAAAGAGCACAGGTGAGTCTGAACAAAGGCCAGGTGAGGGGAGGAGTCAGGTGAGGAGAGAGGTTTCACATCTGCCAAATACTAGTAATTTTTCGATTCAGAGAGAGATCTGTGCTCACAGAGATGAGAAGTGATCGAATTTGAGTAAGTCTGAGGAAGCCTATTTTGTCCCTCTGCCCACTTTTAGTAAGAACTTCACGTAAAGTTTTATAGACGAGACCCCACGTTTTATAGACGTAACTAAATTAATGCAAGACGAACTTAAACAATCCAGGCAATAAAAGTATCTCCATGGATGTATGTTAATGTATACAGTTTTATAAAGATTTTCAAAGCGCTTTGCAAAGGTCATTACTGTGTTATTCTTTCTGCCCTCACCCAATCGCCCAGTCTCACGAATAATCAGAGTTAATCAAAGGAATGTTCCAGACATGACCTATCACCACTCATTACATTTAGTCCACCATTTAAGCCAATTAGTTCATTAACCTTGTGTAATCTCCAAGAAGAGTGTGAAGTTACATCTTACTCTTTGTGATCCAAGGTAGTACTGGTTATTGTAATAGTCGCTTTTTTACTTTTCTGATCCTGTCTATATACCAGAGATAGGAAAGTAGACAAGTAAGAGTAAAAAAAAAGTATTTGCGAAAACTACTTCTCAAGTAAGAGTAACTTAGGCTACGTTTATATGATGATGGTCTGATGGTTGCGTTCACTTTTTGTTCAGCGTTTAGACGAGCGTTTTCGGGAGGAAATCTGCGTGCATACGGTGACGCAAAAGTGTGTGGAATTCGATTGTGTATGCATGTCGTCTGGCTCGCCTGCGACGAACTGGTGCATCCAGAATTTGACAGAGGTAATTGCAGATCCTTCTCTGTTCTCTAATAATATCTCTGTATATTCTGTACATTTGTTGGGATGCGTCCTGTATGTTTATTAGAGGTAAGAGAGTAACTTGAAGCTTTGACACGTGGAAATGATCTGACATGTTTGTTTCTGCGTACTGTATGTATTTGACGTAAACATGTACGCGACCTGAGCAGATCTGACCAGAGTTTTGCGTCTTGGGCAGTGTAGACAGAAACGCTACAGTGGAGCGTATTTAACTTTTCCACTCTGGAGGGTGGTTTCAGAACACTGTCACCCTCTAAACGAAAGTCACTTCCGATAAAATTGTTGTTCTTGTGTAAACAGGCCCTTAAAGTTTGTATAGAGGATTTTTTAAGGAAAAAGAAATACAGCGACAGTCCTTTTTCAAATGTTGTGCATGCGTGATACCGCCTTCCTCCTCCATAGCTCCCTCAGTAGAAACATCTCCTCCCACCTCCTTACTCTAGAAATCACGCTTGTTTACATCCAGTCCATGTTCAGAATTGTTGTTGAAGTGACCCGTCTAGAAATAATTTAGCGACCCTTCAGTCACGCCATCGCTGAAAGCAATCTCCAAGAATCACCTCAGTTTCAGTTTGTCTTCGCTCCTTTTCTCCTTCTCTTCTTCTTTCAGCGACCTCAAAAACTGACTTTGTTTTGCGATGAACTGATCTTGGATTCTCGTCCGCCATCTCAACAAACTTTGTGCGAATTGCGAGGAAGCTACAGTTAGAAAAAGCCTCTAAGAACCGCTGCATAAACCACGTAATCCCCACGCGTTGAGTCAATTACACTAGAAACGTAGGGAGTTTGATTGACAACCCAACAGCCAATAGAATATGAGGCAGCCTTGTTTTCTATTGGCTGATGTTTATCTGGCCTCACTACGTCCACAGTTGATAGATTTTCATTCTTTTTTTTTTTTTTGGTCATCATAATTACAAGACTGCTGCGTCTCTGCAACAGTATTTTAAACTTTCACTGACAATTTGAAACAAACAAACAAAAAAAAATCCTCCATACAACCTTTAAAGAGTAACTGTCTGGACGTAACATCTGATTTAAATTTGAAGATTATATAATTTGAAGGACAAAACCTTAAATAATGCACAAAATCTGGTATTTTCAAAGGATGGATACAAAAAAGAGAAAAACTACATGTTCAACACACATAGTAGTAGTTTTGTAGACTTACTTACAGTTAGAAGAGTAACCACAACTTTTACCCAAGTAAGAGTACTGCAATCCTGTCAAATATATTACTTAAGTAGAAGTAAAAGTATGATGTCCAAAAACTACTCCAAGATGTACAATTTCTTTAAAAGTTACTTAAAGGTGCACTATGTAACTTTCTGGTTAAGGGTCTTTCACCTGCTTGTTTCTATGGAGATGTCATTGCTCTGCCTGGAATGTTCCACAGTATGACATTAAACTGCTTTACCTTACATTTATTCAATTACAGGTGGTTTTATCGCTCAAAAATACCTAGAAAAACAGATATTCTAACTGTGAGCGGGGTCGCCTCGCCACAGATCTGACCTGTAACTTCGTCTAGTTTGGTCTCCATGAAGATAGAAAGGTTTAATGCCATACTGTGCAAAAAAACAAAACTGCAGTGTGGATCTCCTTCTTCTTTTGCACTTTTTTTTTTTTTTGGACCCAGCACATAGTCGCAATTTTTGTTGGATGTGGATTTCTCTATCTACAGAAATCTCTATAAAGTATTTGATGGATCCTCACCAGAAAAGTTACACAATACACCTTTAAGTACATGTACTACTAGAGTACTGTACTACCCAGCTCTGCTATATTATATTGTACAAGACTTTGTGAAACCTCATTTGAGTTTGTGATTGAGAAATTGCCCCTGTGCACGATTGTATAAGTTATGATATTAGAGTTAATCAGTGAAGGGCTCTTGACTGCAGACATAACAGTCATTTTCTCTCCTCTCTCCCCAATCCCTCACTCTTCTCCCCCTCCATTTTTCACTCTCTCCCTACTCTTGTCTCTCCCTCTCTCTCCATCTTTCTCTCTCTCCCTCCTCATTCCTCTCCCTTTCGCTGTCCCCCCTCTCCATCTTTCTCTATGTCCCTACTCTTGTCTCTCCTTTTCCCTTCCACACTCTCTCTATTTTTCTCCCTCCTCATTCCTCTCCCTTTCACTCCCCCCCTCCATCTATCTCTCTCTCTGTCCTTATTCCTCTCCCTTTTGCTGTCCCCCTCTCCATCTTTCTCTCTCTCCCTTTTGCTCCCCCTCTCTCTCCATCTTTCTCTATGTCCCTCCTCATTCCTCTCCCTTTCCCTCCCCCCCTCTCTCCACCTTTTTCTCTGTCCTTACTCTTGTCTCTCCCTTTCGCTGTCCCCCCCTCTATCTTTCTCTCTCCCTAGTCTTGTCTCTCCCTTTCGCTCCCTCTCTCTCTCCATCTTTCTCTCTCTCCCTCCTCTTTCCTCTCCCTTTCTCTCCCCCCCTCCATCTTTCTCTTTCTTCCTAGTCTTGTCTCTCCCTTTCGCTCCCCCTCTCTCTCCGTCTTTTTCTCTCTTCCTACTCTTGTCCCTCCCTCTCTCTCCATCTTTCCCTCTCCCTCCTCATTCCTCTCCCTTTCGCTGTCCCCCTCTCCATCTTTCTCTATGTCGCTACTCTTGTCTCTCCTTTTCCCCTCCTTCTCTCTCTCCATCTTTCTCTCTCTCCCTACTCTTATCTCTCCCTTTCTCTCTTCCTCTCTCTCTCTCTCCCTCCGTCTTTCTCTATGTCCCCACTGTAGTCTCTCCCTTTCCCTCCTTCTCTCTCTCCATCTTTCTCTCTCTCCCTACTCTTGTCTCTTCCTTTCGCTCCCTCTCTCTCTCCATCTTTCTCTATGTCCCTCCTCATTCCTCTACCTTTCACTCCCTCTCTCTCCATCTTTTTCTCTCTCCCTACTTTTGTCTCTCCCTTTCTCTCCCCCTCTCTCTCCATCTTTCTCTCTCTCCCTAGTCTTGTCTCTTCCTTTCCCTCCCCCTCTCTCCATCTTTCTCTCTGTCCCTCCTCATTCCTCTCCCTTTTCCGTTCCCTCTCTCCATCTATCGCTCTCTCCGTCCTCATTCCTCTCCCTTTCGCTCCCCCTCTCTCCATCTTTCTCTCTCTTCCTACTCTTGTCTCTTCCTTTCGCTCCCGCCTTCTCTCTCTCCGTCTTTTTCTCTCTACTCCTCTTTCCTCTCCCTTTCTCTGCCTTTCATATTTTCTCTCTTTCTCCCATACTCTCCTCCAATGTTTTCTCTATCCTTTCACCCCATCTCCTTTTCTTTCTCTTTCTCCCCTCCCTTTTAATCTCTCTCCCTTACCACTTTTTCTTTCTCAGCAATCCCACCATCTTCCCTTTTCCCCCCCTCCTCTCTGCCCTTCCTCACCCCTTTCTCTCCGTCTCCTCACACTCTCTCCTCTCCCTTTTCACTCCACCTTGCTCTCTCTCGCTTTCTTCGTCTCTCTTGCTCATCTCATCCCATTTCCTTTCTCCCCCTCTCACTCTTTCTTTCTTTTTACCCCTCCTCTTTCTCACCCTGTCACTCATTCCATCCCACCGTTTTTCTACCTTTTCTCTCTCTCCTCCTCTGTCCCTCTCGCTCTCTCTTTTTCTCTCCCCATTCACTCTCATCTCTTTGTCTTTCACTCCATCCTTGTCTCTCTCTCTCTCTCCTTCTTGTCTTTATTCATCTCTCTCTCTTCTCCCTCTCACTATCTTTCTTTCTTTTATTTTATCCCTCATCTTCCAACCATTCCCTCTCTTCTCACCTTTTCTCTCTCTGACCTCATCTCTCTCCCCATCGCTCCTCCCTTTTTTCTCTCCTCCCTCCCTCCTCCTCTCCTCGTCTCCTCCAGCAGCTGCTCGTTCCCATAGCGATACGTACGCTCCGTCGCCGTAGACTTTAATGGAGTTGATGCAGTTCTTGGTGAGGCCTCGTCCTTTCAGAAAGGGGCAGTCCTCACACAGCTCCACTCGCTCGCCGCTGAAGTTCTCCCCCTCGAAAAGCTCCAGACGATAATTCTCCCCGTGCTACAAAAAAGACAGAAAAAAGCAGAACGTATTTGCCGTTATAAAGAGAGATTTAAACCAGAACTAAACCAGGATTATCCCTACTGACAAAGCTGCAACAAAGAGAATGTATTAAACTGAACTTAAAGGTGCATTGTGTAACTTTTCTGGTCTAGGGTTTGTCAAATGCTTTTCTCCATGGAGATGTTATCGTTTTGTCTGTAATGTTTCACAGACCAAGTTACAGGTCAGATCTGTGGAGAGGCGACCCTGCTCACAGTCAGAATGCCTGTTTTTCTAGGTATTTTTGAGCTATAGGCGAGTTTCAGCTGACGTCATTGTTATTAAAAGCCCGTGTTGCATGCTGGGAAATATTTTGGTCGGAGGCAAGAAACACGATAGCGTCAAACACAGTGCGTAACCTCGTGCGTATTTATCCCCGATAATGGTAAATTCTTGCTGCATTATCGGATGCACAAATAGAAGCACGGAAGAAGGAAAATGTCTTTTTCGTATTCTGAGTGAAAAGAACCACTAACGGTGAATTAAACGGCTTTCAAACATTCGCAGAGCAAACGTAGAAGATCCTAGCAAACCGTGGACTCCAACAAGTTCAACAACACATCGAGACTCTTGGGCTGTGTTCAGACTGCAGCCTGAAGTGACCCAAATCCGATTTTTTGGCTTCTATGTGACCTGTATCCGATCTTTTAATGACAGTCTGAACGGCACAGATCCGATTTTTTCAAATGCGACCCAGGACACTTGGATATGTGGTCCTGAATCAAATACATATCCGATCTTTTGACATGCGACTTCAGTCTGAACGGCCAAAGCGCATCCATCCGACCTACACGTCATTAACAAGCGACAAACGTCACTATTCTGCGCTGAAGCAGGCGGAAACCGGAACTGTAAAATCGCCAGGTGCTCAATGCTCGCGACCATATTTGGACAACTTCCGTAAACACAGAGCACGCTCGCTGCGGTTGACGCATGGGGTTGACGTCATCGTGTCCTCCAGTGCGGATGCGGGACACTTTCGGGCCGTTTACCGTTCACACTGAAGTCACAGACAAGTCGCATTTAATTGGAAATGTGAACGACCTCGCAAAAACATCGGATTTCACAAAAAAATCGGAATTGAGCATTAAGCCCTGCAGTCTGAACGTAGCCATAGAGGCTTCCATCTTTTCTGCTGTGAATGGCCCAGGAGTTTCCACCAAGTCATTGTGGATATCGCCAAAGTGAATATTTGTCCAGGTAGTTGGCGATTCCGACCAGAAATTTGGTTTGGTCCACCTTTTGTAGGGGTTGAAAAGGGTGATTTGTCGTCCATCGATGCTTATGACCAATTTCTGGTCAAATCGTCTTTGGTCCTCTGCCGTTAGAGTGGATAAATAACCGGGATCAATACCCTTTACGTGCTTTCTCTCTCCGTCCGTCACGTTGAATTAGTGTTTCTTGTCGCCAACCAAAATAATTCCCAGCATGCAAAGTGAGCTTTTGTCAACAGTGAAACTCGCCTATAAAACCACCTGTAATTGAAATTTAAATTTAAAGATGAACTGTTTAATGTCGTAGCGTAGAATATTCCTGCAAGGGCAATGACATATCCATAGAAACAAGCAAGTGATGAACCCCCAATGAAAAATGTACACGGTGCATTATATATCAGTGGTGTGAGGTCAGGGCAATCAAGGGAAACAGTGGTTGCCCCAAAAAAATCTAAAATCATTGTGTGTCAAAAGTCAAAAGAAATAGTTTCAAATTATATCCAAATAATCCCATTTTCAATTTACGTCTGTCTGTTTAAAACATGGTTGTAGTGGCGATGTTCTTTACTACACTTTTACACTACACTACCTTTTTCACAACGACCGAAAGTGCCGCGGTGTACGGTTGCGGAACTTCTGGTTAATGGATTTCTATAACAAAATGTCTATGGAAATGTCTCATGTATTCTCCACCAACTTCATAAATCTGCCTCATCACCAAATTTTCATCCAACAAGGTCGACAAAGGACATAAATTCTTCCATGAAAAATGTATCCACAACTATCAAGGTAAGAAAGACGGAAGCTTCAAGGCGAACAACGACTAACATGGTAAATGTTAAAGGGTAAATTCCAACTTCAAGGCGCTCAACAAGGAACCACTCACCCATTCACAGACACATTCATACACCAGTGTACACAGACACTAGGGCAGAGGTGTCCAAACTTTTTTCATCAAGGGCCACAAATCTAAACACAAACGAAGCAGAGGGTTGAACAAAGGTCATAGACTGGTGAATAATTGAAATATGTGCATGTTTAACACGTTAGAATGAGCCATTTATTCATGCTTCTTCCTTAAAACCACACACTAAATATTAAATATTCGCTTTATCAAGGTAGATTTTCAAAAAACTTGTAAAAAGTTCATTTTTAATTGATGCGAGGTAATTTAGGCCAATTCACCTGGAAGCCTGAGGGCCAAGAAATATTTGTTTGAAGGTCGCATTTGGCCCACAGCCCATAGTCTGGACATGCTTACACGGTGGGTTAAGTGTTTTGCCCAAGAACACAACGACAGCTTTCATCCGTGGGAGCTGGAATCACACTGAGCAAAAACTGAGCAAGACTAATGTTATGGTCATGAATAAAACATAAGTAACTTGTTAACTCAGATTCTAGACTTAAAATAAAAAATCTATTTCATGATGTCGATATTAGCATAGATAGATTTGTGCAGTTTGGAGGCACATGTTGAGAGCGCAGCTTTCTACAGATGCTCGTACAACCGCAGAGACCAGTAGCTCTCCACCCCATTCCCAGTAGCTCGCCAAGGGATATTGGAATTATACCATTGTGCTGAATAACAAAAAACTGGTTAATTAAATGCCCATTACAATTGTAAACGTACAAAACCCAACATTGTGCACTTATAAATGGACAGTGGTTTATGTTTTAAAGACATCTAACTGTTCCCCAAGGCTCACCCTCTTTCTTATAATCGCCTCAATTTCCTACGGTCTCTAAAATGCATTTTTGTTTTGTAAAGGTAGCTCGCTGGAGTTAAAAAGGTTGGAGACCCCTGTTTAAGAGACTTGTACATGTGTACAGAGGACCACAGAAGGCTGAAAACTAGAAAGATAGAGACAATTATAATATATGTGGCCATTTAAATAAGACTAGACATTATATATAGAGCTGTGTAATAGAAGCTGATATCTGCATAAAACATGGGGTCCATGAGAGCAGCACACAGTACACACATGCAGAGAAGATGTGTGTTTACTGTAGCTGAGTCACTGCACTGGTTCATGGAGAGTGCATGCACAGGTGTGGAGAAAGCAAAACATGATTCTATTAAAGTTGTATAATAAAAAATGTATATATAGATCTGTTTTTTTCTTGAGCTATGCTGGAATATTTTTAGAAGTAAAAGTGTGACATTAATGGCATAACAAATGAAGAATGTAGGATGGAGAGAAGGTTTCAGCGGTGGTTATCTGGACAAGACGTTTCATCTATTTTCAGAAGACTTTTTTCAATTTGACGGGTCTCAACAGGGTCAAAAGAGCCAAAAAAACAAGACAAAAGTGAAGAGGAAGCCAGGATGAGTCTATGACCGAGTCTCATTTCTTTTTATTGGCTTGCTTCGCGTTGATTGCTCTCCTCGACCCTCCATTTTTCAGCTGTCAATCTAATGTGTCATATTAAGTGACGTCCAAAAGAAAACTGTGGAAGGAAGGAGTAAACATGAGGGAGGCTTCAGGAGGCAGACATCAGAGAAAAGAATCAAACTTTACTGGTCTCAGGCTACGTTTATATGATGACAGGCTGAACAGAAGACGCAAAAGTGGTCTTCACTTTTTATTCCGCGTTTAGATGAGCATTTTCGGGAGGAAATCTGAGTGCATACAGTGACGCAAAAGTGTGTGGAATTTGATTGGGTATGCATGCCAGGCGGTATTCACTTAAAGCAACAAGGGCGTCTTTGGACATACAGAAGTTTTTACACCACGCATTTTCATCAGCTACTCCTTCCACAAAGTTGTCCCACCACTGACTGGTCCTCCAGGTCTTGTCCCTAGTCGTCTGACTCGCCTACGACGAACTGGTGCATCCAGAATTTGACAGAGGTAATTGCAGATCCTTCTCTGTTCACTGTTAGTATCTCTGCATATTCTGTGCGTTTGTTGGGATGCCTCCTGTAAGTTTATTAGAGCTGAAGGTCCGAGGCATGGAAATGATCCGACATGTTTGTTTCTGTGTAAACGCGCAAGGTGAGCAGATCTGACCAGAGTTTTGCGTCTTGGGCAGTGCAGACGGAAACGCTACGGCGGAGCGTATTCAACTTTTCCACTCTAGAGGGTGGTTTAAGATTTTTACGTTTTTAAGTCCCAAAAACACCGTCACCCTCTAAGACACATCCGATAAAATATTTTGTCATTTTTACCCGCAAGCATTTTCCTGTAAACAGGCCGTCAGTGAGGACTTTATATTCTCTCTCTTCCCTGTGTCTCCTCCGTGGGCGAGACTTCCTCACCCATTTCCTGCTAAATTGCGGAGAGGAATCAAGGAGAAGAAAGCGAGGAAAGAGAAATGAGACGCTCCCTATTCCTGTCTGAAAAACTATAGGATATTTAGACAAGACAGTGTTTCTCTGTACTTTAGCAACAGCAAAGCGTTTTCAAACTCCTGGAATAAGACCTCAACAACAACCAAGTGCTAATCAGGTACTTAACAATGCAGAAGGTGAGACAGACAACACACAACAGAGCCAAAGCAATCTATAATGATGTTAGCTGTAAACAAGGACAGGGCACTTTCACTCTAAAGCTCCTCCCCTTGGGGCTGGACCTGGACTGGATGGGAGTTAAAATATCTTGATCACAAAAACAGTGTTCAGATGACCACAGTAGAAACCTTTTCCATTTCATTCCAGTGAACCACGCCTGGACAAATGAGGGATTACACTGTCCTTTCACAGTTTTTCTCTTTCATACATGCAGTGTAAAATATAGTGTAAATGAACCTGGTAAAAGAGCAAACCCGTTAAGAGCGATAAGTATATGTTATTAAAATCTAGGGTTAAGGGATATGGGTTCGTCACAGAAACCAAGTATTAGTACCAGTATTTTTAGAAAAAAAAAAAAAGTTGGGGACCACTGCTACGTATATAAAACCTGTCCACTAACATGCTGCTTAAAGTACAAATAAATAGTCCAACGGGGTTCATTTGATCTTCTGATATTTTATGTTTATGTATGAAAACTCAGGCAATTACTCGGAGCAAAAATGTAATGTCATACACGAAATACACTGCATGTGCTGCAATAAAAACATACATCGGGGAAACATGGAGGAATTTCAGTCCATGGAAAAAGGAACACGGGACAGAATGCGAGAAGAAAACAGCTAAGGCGAAACACGAGCAACAAAACACAAAGCAGAACAGGAACAACTCAAATCAGCCATTTCTGACCACTTTAAAAGAAAGAACCGCCTTATGGGACTATGGACTGCAGATGGCGCTGTTGTGCTGCCTCCACCGGTAGGAAGACAGCGCCAAAACCTGTTGAAATCAGCTGACCGGACACGTCACAGCAACGTCACGTGACTCTGAGGAAGACCAATAGTGAGCATTCGAAACTGTCAGCTATGAAAACAAAATCTTGGTCTGAAAAAAGAACCTAATAACATGACGTAGAACTAAATACTAAATTGTAGTGCCTTTAGCATACATGTTTACATACATAATTCACCGCTGTGAGTGAGCTGTGAGTTGAGTTAATAAAGCGACACACGTTTTTTTGTGTCTGCAATGTGAGAAGTTGTTGGCTCCTTTTTATTACGTACAACTTCCACAAAATCCACTTTTTTACTAACAGTGTCAGTGGTGTTTTAATAGCATTGTCTAGTTGTCTTGTCTCTAGTAAATTTGGAGCTTTCTGGTCAAAATCAAAGTTTGTGCTGCCTTCCGTGGCCTCTTCAATTTAAAGTACTATGTGACATCACGCAGTACTGCCTTGATCACAGCCAGGTGGACGGAGTTTGAAGTGTGGACCAATCACATTGTTCCTTTTGGTGCCTTCATGTCCAATGGTAATTATCGTAAATACCAAAAAAACAACACCAAAATTGCACCCACTCACATCGTAATTTGTGCTTTGTGTTGCATTTTTGTATGAAAAGCTCTCTGTAAATAACGTTTGATTGATTGATAATTTCATCTGGAAAGCTGGAAGATTTTTTATGATACACGAGCTGCAGAGAGGAGATAAACTTTGACCTTTCAACATGACAGAGAGCAGAGAAAATGTCGTGAATGGTTCTGTTAAACATTCTCTGCTGCTGTGAGTTGGTTAATGTGTAGCCTACATAGTGCTGTGACATACATAATTTTAATAACATCGCCATTTACACGTCTTATTAAAATAAATAAAATAAAAAGTAATACAAATATTTAGATAAAATATTAAAACAGTTTTACTCAAGTAACAGGTCAGACTCTGCCAGGTTTCACTTCACTACGACAACAAAGCACTTGAACACAACACACTTTCTTCAATCATCTTTCCCATACCACATGAAGGCAGCATTATACCTCTAGACCACAGGTGTCAAACATAAGGCCCGGGGGCCAGATTCGGCCCTCCAAGACCTTTAATCTGGCCCTCGGCTGATTTTTTACTAAAATATTTTAATCATGTTTTCCATTAAAATATTGGTAATTTTCTGTTCCGCTTAGCATAGCAGCGTCTCCAGTGCCTCTGTGTATGGCCCCTCCCACCAGAGTAGCACAAATGAAGACTTGTCTCTTTCCAAACGCTCTTAAAGGACGATCGTTTTGACTGTTGAATGTGACACCCTCATCAGCAAAATGTCAAAAATGAGAAAAGTGGAGCCGAGTGCAGGATTTTCCAAGAAAAACTGACTTATTCCTATTTGCATACAAGTTAATGTTAAAACATTGTATTGAAATAGCATTTTTTTTCATAATATTATATTATTTTGTAAAAGAAAGAGTTCATCAATTAAAAAGGATTTCTGTAATAGAATTGTGTTTCTCTGCACAATTATTTGAACTTATTGCTGTTTTTGGGGTATATATGACATGAGTTTTCTGAGCACTTGAACACAACACACTTGCATCGATCATCTTTCCCATACCACATGAAGGCAGCATTATACCTCTAGACCCTGCCCCTCCTCTCTCACTTTTCTCCTTATTCCACCAGGTACTGCTCGGTTTAGCGGCTCAATCTGAAATGCGCTTGTGGGTTTAGTGTTAAGTCCCGCTTTAAGTTAAGTAATACAAAAGCCCGACTATCTCATCTCCTTCTCCCCCGTGTTGAGACGCACCATTCTGATTGGCCGGCAGGAGCCCATGTGATCGTTGAGGGCGTTCCATCGCTGGTATTCGGGGTACTCTCCGTGCTCCAGGATGTACTGCTGCCCCCTGTAGTCCGGGTGGTCGAAGCAGACGAAGGCGCCGCTCTCCACACGGATCGAATTCACTCTGTTCAAGAATCCGCGGTCCTGGAAGTTCTCACAGTCGCTGCACAGCTCCAGCTTACGGCCAGTGAAGCATTTGCCCTCGTAGAAAACTATCTGGGGTGGGAAAAAAGAGTCAAAAGGACAATAATATCATACTAACTAAATAATTCCATATTTTCAAAAGCTACAGTGCATGATATTGTGGTGGTAATGTATACAGTACCACTCAAACGTTTTGGACATCACCTCTCACACTTTTTTTCTATTTGTTTACTACTTTTACATTAGATATAGACATAGAAGACATTAAATATATGAAGTAAGATGTGTGGAATTATGCAGCAAAGGAAAAAAAAAGTGAAATAACTTTACTAATTTAAAAAACAGAGGCGGTGCTACCATGAGGCAACAGTAGTCGGCAGTCGTGGGTCTCTGAACCTGGAGGGGCCCCCCAACAATTTCCTTCAGTGCTACTAATGGTCGAGGACTTAGAGCAATTTGATTTTTTTCTCACTATGACATTAAATGAGAGTATTTTACTTTTAAAACAAGAAAACACCTTCAAAATAGTATCTGACTGTCAAATCTATTTTAATAGTCAAAGCATTTCCCCCATTTCACGTTAGAATGAACTAGTCAGCTTTACCCTGATTTGAACATAATCATAAGTGTATGTAAAGGATGTAAACAAAAATGTAATTGTACTAGCAAAAAAATAAAATTACTTTCAGTTCTGGTTTTCTAGTAAAGATAATAAACTATTAAGACAATCCAATACCCTAATTCAAATAAAAATGTGCGTGTCTCATGAACAATGGGGGGAAAAATACATATAAATAATACAATAAATAGTAAAAACAACAACAACAAACAAACAACAATCCTCAAATTTAAAAATATTTTGTAGTTTTCTTTAACTTTTTTCTTTCTTTACTAAATAATTCCACATATCTTACTTCATATGTTTGATGTCTTCTGTGTGATCTAAAATGTAGAAAGTAGTTAAAAAAAAAAAAAAGAAAAGAAAACTGAGACTGAGAAGCTGAGTCTAAACTTTTGATTGGTAGTGTAGATTTGGCATCTTTGGATTTTATTTATTTTTTTTACTTTTAACGGTGCACTGCGTAACTTTTCTAGTCTGCCACTTGCTTGTTTCCATGGAGATATTATTGCTTTGCCTGGAATATCGCAATTGGGCTTAAGTATGAAACCAGTTCCTTAGTACAGAAATTTAGTTTGAAATTTTAGTATTATGACAACACAAATCATTATACCAAGATGACTTACAATTGAGTACAAATCATCATAAAAAATAAATTAAATTAAATACTTATTACTACTATTATTATGATCAAAATCAAATGTTTTATTGTGAACAAAATGTACAAAACTGGGAACTTGCTTCAGCATCTTAGCGTGACATAAAACAGTGAATATTAATAGTAAAAATACTGATAAAAAAATAAAGGTATGCATAAAAATAAGGTGTTACAGACAAATCATCTTGGACTGAATGTGTACAAATATTACTACTACTGCGACTATTACTTCATAATCCCTTTGTGACTTGCGTGGCCACTCTTGGTACTCACCTTTCCGGAGTAGCGCGACATTTTCCCTCCTCCTGGTCCTTGTTGTCCTTCCAGACTATTATTTACCCAGAGGCCTTTGGGAGTGGCGGAGTTTGGAAGGCAGATTTATAGGGTGCTCTGTGAGAGTCGGGGTGTCACTCGCGGTTTGGCGAGGCCCAGATAACAAAGGCAGTACAAAGGAGGGTTTAGCCATTTCGCCACATGGACAGATTCCCCCTCACAAACTGCACCACTGCTGAGATCGGAGTTTGCACCCAGGGGCAAAACAAAAAGCGGGAGATGGATTTTGCTCTGATAGTCTGGTTGGTTGGACAAAAGTACTTATTTTACTAAATCAGTTAAAGGTGCACTGTGGAACTTTTCTGGTGGAGGGTCTGTCAGCTGCTTCTGTAATTTTCCACAGTGGGGCATTACACTCATTTATCTCTACAGAGACAGCAGCTGATGCCACAGGGCCAAGTTAGATCATTTTTACCTCCGCCAAGGAGGTTATGTTTTTGCTGGCGTTTGTCTGTTTGTTTGTTTGTTTGTTTGTTTGTCTGTTAGCAACATAACTCAAAAAAGTTTATGGACCGATTTTGATGAAATTTTTCAGGATTTGTTGGAAATGTGAAAAGGAAGAACTGATTTCATTTTGGGGGTGATCCGGAAGAAATCCTGGATTCTGGATCACTTTGAAATTTTAGTTAACATTGTGGTAAATGGGGCCAAAAATTTTGTTTCTCAATATCTCGGTTAATTATTGACCAAACCCCATGAAATTTGACTCAAGGATGGACAATGGGATCCTCTTTCATATTCCAAAGGCTGATCCGGATCTGATCCAGAAAACTGGACTTTATATAAAAAATGGGGGTAGTCCTTGGTGGAGGTCTGTGCTCTCTGAGTGCTTTTCTAGTTTGTTTTTGTTTTAATTCCTAATTAACAGAAAAAAAAGAAAAAAAAAGAATAAAAAACTATTTATTAAGTATATAAGCATCAGCTGTTAATTTTTATTGTTTATTAGACTATTAAAGTTACATGCTAAATCTGCGGAGAGGCGAGCCACTCACAATAATAAAGCAAGTTATTAGGTCAGTAAAAAACATGTTATTGAGTAAATGCACGATGGAGAGGTTTAATGCTTTATTGGAACTTTTCAGGTAAAGCAGTTACACAGGACCACCTCTTTGATCATTATATTTAAGATGTTTGCAGAAACATTCATATTCATTTTCCCAGAATGGCCATTTTTTAGGTTTAACATTTTACTTCTTGGTTGGAAATCGTGACATCACACTATGGATTTCCAAAACTGGAAAAACTCCTCTAATGTACACAGAAATTATTATAAGGCAAATGGTACTAGTGGTGGCCAGAGATCCTATCATAGGGAGAAAGTAGTAATAGTAGTAGAAGTAGTAGTAGTAGTAGAAGTAGTAGCGGCAGTAGTAGTATTAGTAGTAGGAGTATTAGTAGTAATATGCAGAGCCTAGTTTAAGGTATGTGTACAAATGAGTACTAGAAATTAATACTTTGTGTATTGGTAAAAGTGGGGAAATAAGTAGTAGTAGTAGCAGCAACAGTAATAGCAGTAGCAGTAGTAGTAGTAGTAATAGCAGTAATATTAGAAGTAGCAGTAGAATAACTAATAGCAGCAGCACTAGCAGCAGAAGTAGGTAGTAGTAGTAGTAGTAGTAGTAGTAGTAGTAGTAGTAGCAGCAGCAGCATCTGCAGCAGCAACAGCAGTAGTAGTAATAATAGTAGTAATAGAAGTAGTAGTAGTAGTAGCCGCAGCAGCAGCAGCAGCAGTAATAATAGTAGTAGTAGTAGTAGTAGTAGTAGTAGTAGTAGCAGCAGCAGCATCTGCAGCAGCAACAGCAGTAGTAGTAATAATAGTAGTAAGTAGTAGTAGTAGTAGTAGTAGTAGTAGTAGTAGTAGTAGTAGTAGTAATAATAGTAGTAGTAGCAGCAGCAGCAGCAGTAGCAATAATAGTAGTAGTAAGAGTAGTAGTAGTAGTAGTAGTAGTAGTAGTAGTAGCAGCAGCAAGTAGTAGTAATAATAGTAGTAGTAGCAGCAATATTAGAAGTAGCAGTAGTATTAGTAAGAGCAGCAGCAGCAGCAGTAGTAGTAGTAATAATAGTAGTAATTGTAGTAGTAGTGAAGTAGTAAAAACTAGATTTAAATTAAAAAACAAAAATTTCAAACTCAAGTTCAATACTGAGAAATAGACTCAATATTCAACACTTATTCTGATACCACGATGATGAGTAAAAAACAAACAAACAAACAAAAATCACTCTTTCTTTAGACAATATTCTAACTAATTCATTTCTATCCTGGGAATGTGACACTTTTTGTATCGATGTAGTTTCAATACTAGTTTTAGCATTGTTTAGTATCAGATTTTTGTTACTTTTGACAGCTCTACCTGGACTATTACACATTATTTTACAATGGCTCCAAATGCTATAACATGAAGATGGCTCCGGCCCAAGAGGGAGATTAAAATACGTCTCTCCCCATTCACCCATATCCAGGAATATATAGATCCAGACCGGGCTTAAGTGCCGCTCCAATGTTGCTCAGGGGAAACTTGCAAATCTATTTTAGGTTTGTTAAAGATTTTCTGTCTTCTGTCGTAAAGTAATAGGCTAGGTGTTTTAAGATAGCCAGCATATTTAAAAAGGGATAGTTCAACTTTTCTATGGGGTTACTTAAGGTAGACTACTGCATAGATGAATAAATTATACACGGATTGTTGTCAATGCCCCTCACAGCAAGGTAACAATCATTGGAAAACTTGTACGGGGCGCCGGTTGGGACAAAACAGTGCGCGCAGCTTTGTAATATTAGTAATAACAAATATACAGTGGATACTTTTTACTCTTTCTTCATTATATTTGAGAGCAGGTATCTGTACTTTCTACTGCACTACGTTTGCAAACAGGACTGAAAAGTAAAAGTATTTCCATCGTCTAAGCAAACGAAAATATACAAATAAAGGCAGCTATAAATAAATGTATTTAATAGTTTCTGTTGAACAAAAGTCAGCACAAATCTGAAGTTTTATTAGTATTATTTATCTAAAATCAGCACAAAATACTTTAAAGTACGTTTTTAAACAGGTATTTAAACACTTTTACTTAGAGTTTTCAGGTGATACTTTTACTTTTACTTGAGTTTTTTTTGCTCCACTTTTATTTAAGCAACAATATTGAGTATTTCTTCTCCTTAATTTAATTTTGACTGTCATTTTGGTAATGTTTGCAAGAATAAACTTATTGCAATAAAATGATAAAATTGGTAGACACCCACACAGAAATACAGTCAACAATGAAATTGTATAAGGCTATGTTGGTGTCTACCAATTTTATTATTTTACTGCTATAAGTTTAAGTGTTTTTAATAAAGTCAGTGAGGGAAGAAATATTCAATATTGTTACTTAAATAAAAGTGCAAACTGGAGAAAAAATACTGAATTAACCACAGAAAATGTTGAAATGGGTCTTAAAGAATGATGCAAGATAGATTTTAAAAAATCTTTTAACTTTCACAAACATACCTGTAATTCTCTGTAAAAACTAATTTGCCTTTGAGCCTCACCGAGCACTCCATTTGAAATTTCTCGGGATTGTGACATCATAGATAAAAGCCCTGTGCAGTTTTAAGTTCATAAATCATAGTAAAATCATAAAATCATGCTCATTAACCTTTTAACCTGGACATGTTCCTCATTACGCAGTTGAATTGTTTTTGCTTTTATACTCTAGTACATATAAAAAGCTCAAAAAATATGTATAGACCTTATTTAAAGGAGATAATGGAGATATTATTGGTTTGTGTGCATTAAACATGACATTAAAAAAAAGCAATCTATTCAATTCTATTCATTCAGGTGTTTCCATTGCTTAAAAATACATTGAAAAACATGAATTCGTACAGGCAGTGTCCACAGATCTGACTTGTAACTTGGCCTCATAGTATCAGTTGACATCTAGCCTTTTAAAATGATGCAATGAGTCTTTTTTTTTTTTAAACAAAAACAGGCACATTAATTAAATAAAAGTGATATTATAGTATTGGTAGTAGCCTATTAGTAGCCTAGTAGTGGTATCAGTAGTAGTAGTAGTAGTAGTAGTAGGAGGAGGAGGAGGAGGTGGAGGAGGAGTACTGGTACTAATATACAGTGCAAAGTTTAAAGTACAAGTACAAATGAGGAAATACTTTGTGTAATGGTAAAAGTGATGCTATTGTTTCTGGACATGTTCCTCACTATGCAGTTTGATTGTTTTTGCCGTGGTAATTCCCTCTGCTGCCAGTAGATGGCAAACTGCACCAGATCACAGTAAAATGTTTGTTATTACTGATTATTTTGCATTATAAATCATGCAAAGGGACTGCAGACTATGTTTAAAGGCCAACAACAACACAACTAGTGCATAATCTTTGTCATTTAAAACTGAACTGATAGTTAAAAATCCCATAGTATGACTTTAAACATAGCTTAACATAGCATTTATTCATTATAGTGTGTTTCTATTGCCCCAAAATACAATTCCTTCTTTGAATGTGGCCGACTCTCCACAGATCTGAACTGTAATGAACATTCTAAACAAAGCAATAACATTTCTATAGAGACAAGCAGGTGACGGACCCTTTACACTTGTTCATTTTTAGCCATGAATATTCTTACTAAATTTAATTCATTACAGTCACCTATAGTGTAGTTTTGATATCATGTCTTTGCTGGATTTGCAGATAGTGAAGAGCAGACAGTCATGATGAATTTCAGTCAATAAAGCTTACGTTTGGTTAACATTTCCAGCAAAGACTGAAAAATCAATGGTACATGATATGGGAAAAGAACTTGCAGAGAGAAGCGTTTTAGCATTTTGGTTTATAGACAGACAGTGTTGGAAAGTAACTGAATACATACTCTGAATACTAATTTTGAGTAACTGTAGTCTGGTACAGATATTTTTTCATTTGGTGACATTCAAAATACACTTTACTTTTCTAAAATTAAAGGAATACGTGACAGTAGTTGCACAATACACAATTTAGGCTTCGAACTGCACAAAAGAAGTGAGAAAAAAGTATATAAAGCAGCTCTTGTTGTGAGTGCATGTGCAATTTTTTCTTTGACTGACATATACAAACAAATATAATGCTGTTTTTGTTCCTATGTTGCATCTTTACACTATGATTTAAAAAGTAAAAGTACCCCAAGTATTTAGAATACAATACTCTGACTGGACCATGTAACAAAATAAATTATGGTACAAAATAATACAAATAAAATACATTTTCAAAGTATTCTTCCAGTTACTGCAGACGGAGGGGTGACTTCTATACTCCAGTACATATATACAGCTCAAAAATAATGTATGGACCGTATTTAAAGATGCACTGTGTAGCTTTTCTGGGGTGGGGTCCTTCACCATGGAGAAATTTTTGCTTTGTGTGCTTCCCATCCACAGTATGTCATTAAACATAACTTTAAACTAAAAATATCTATTCAGTTACAGGTGTTTGCATTGCTTTAAAATACATTGAAAAACATGCTTTCTTATGGGCGGTGCCCACAGATCTGACTTGTAACTTGTAACTTGGCCTAGTAGAATCAATTGACATCTAGCCTTATAAAATGATGCAATGGGTCTTTTTTTTTTAAAACAAAACAAACAAAAAAGAGACACATTAATAATATAAAAGTGATATTATCATAGGAGGAAAATGAAGAAATTGTAGTAGTAGTATTATTAGTAGCTTAGTAGTGGTATTAGTAATAGTAGTAGTAGGAGTATTATTAGTAATGTACAGTACAAAGTTTAAGGTACGAGTACAAAAAAGGAAATACTTTGTGTAATGGTAAAAGTGATGCTACTGTAGGCAGAAATAGTAGTTGTAATAGTATTAGTCGTATTAGTAGTAGTAGTAGAATTAGTAGTTGTATTTTTTTTTATTGAAAGAAACTAAAACAAAAATAGACAAAAAAATAAAATAAAATAAACCCCTCCCATGCTCCCCTCCCTTCATCCTGAATGTTCTGACTACAGCTGAGCTTAGTTGTCAGCAAACATACAGTCCCTTTGTGCCCATTACTAACAGTTCTTATTTACTGTAGCATTCCTAAAGTCTTTGCAGGATTTGCAGGTAGTGAATAGAAGACAGTTGTGATGAATTTCAGTCAATAAAGCTTATATTATGTTAACATTTCCAGCATATAGACTTAAAATCAATCATGGATAACTGATATGGGAAAATAACTTGCATAGAGAAGTAATTTCAGTACTGGAGAAGATCTGTGATTTTAATACTAAGTTTTTTTTTGTGTGAAAATGTGTACCCCTTGATTGCACCTAAAAATTCTGTCCATAAATACAATGAACAGAGTCGGTGACAAAGGGCAGCCTTGACAGAGTCCAACATGCACCCGGAACACGTCTGACTTATTGCTGGCAATGCGAACACAGCTCCTGCTCCAGTCATACAAGGACCGGACTGCCCTTAGCAAAGGGCTACGGACCCCATACTCCCAGATCACCCCCCACGAGGAACATTTTCAGTCCAAGTTCAAGTTCCCATGATCCCTCAAGCACCTGATGGAGAGTAACAGCTGGTTATTGTCCGCGACTGGGACAAAACCACACTGCTCCTCCTGGATCTGAGGTTCAACTATTGATCGGATTCTCCTTCTACCGGGGAGGCTGAGGAGTGTGATCCCCCCTGTAGTTGGAACTCACCCTCTGGTCCCCCTTCTTAAACAGAGGCACCACCACCCCGGTCTGCCAATTCAAAAGCACTGTCCCCGACCTCCACGTGATGCTGCAGAGACGAGTCAACCAAGACAGACCCACAACATCCAGAGACTTAAGATACTCGGGACAGATTTCATCCACCCCCAGAGCCTTGTCACCGAGGATCTGTAACCACCTCAGTGACTTCAGCCAAGGTGATGGGTGAGTTCACTTCTGACAGTGAGATCGAGGAGTACCTTAAAGTATTCCTTCCACCGTCCCACAACACCCTCAGTTGAAGTTAGCAGCTCTCCCCTTTGAGGCTTGGGACAGTTTGCCAGAAATTCTTTGCGGCTGACTGATAGTCCTCTTCCATGGCCTCTTTGAACTCCTCCCAGCCCCCTGTTTTTACCTCCGTGACTCTCAGCTGCCTCAGGAGTCCCACAAGCCTACAAGACTCCATAAGACTTACATCAGAGACCTTGCGACATGGTCCACTCTGACTATGTTCCCAGTCTCCCCCGGGGTTTGGGAGAAGCTTTCCTGAAGGTGTGAGTTGAAGATCCTACCGAGTGAGGGCTCCTCCAGACGTTCCCAACAGACCCTCCTGATACACTTGGGTCTGCCAAGTCTTTCTGGCGTCCTCCTCTGCCATCATACATAGTTGAAAAAGCACACTACATTACAGTACTTGTGTTACTAGGAAGAACTACAGTGGCCACTTTCCAGCTTCTATATATTTTGTGCTGTTAACACAAGAAAATGCATTTGGTCCAAGCCCAGAATTGCAGCCAAGAGTTATATAGTCTCTCACGACCGTGTAACTGTCCAGAAGTCCTGTCTTTATAAAACACATTCATACATTTTACAATTTCCACTTGCCAATTTCTAAATTATTAAACATATTATGACAATTTTCTCACCGATAATCTCTAGACCTTTGGCTATTACGACTTGGCTTTCTACACTGCAAATCCCAGGGTGTGTTTAAACAAATGTAAAAGATTCATATTTACACAGATCTCATTTATTATAGACAGGAGTGGACCGAGGGTGGACACTGGTTGCATAATGATCTTTTTGCGTTGGGAAATAGTAACTGTGAACCGTGACTGAGAGCTGTATTGACTTAATAGAGATACTCCCCTTAAAGAGACATTATCCACACTGGGCAAAGTCTATTTAAGTCGACCGGGGTTATTGAAACCAGCTCATAAGGAAGACTCCAGCTGGTATGTACACAGGGTTTTGTATGGAATATAGCAATGCATTTATGTATAGAAAATCAGTAGGGCTGTTTCACTGCATAGTGCTAAATATTAAGCAAATAATACAAACTAATTAATGTACTACTACAGCAGAAGTGGGTAGAGTAGCACATAATTGCACTTGAGTAAGAGTAACGTTACTTCAGAATAATAATACTTAGAAGTACAAAGTAGTGGTCCAAGAAATTTTAAAAAGAAGTATTTGGGAGGAAGTACTACTCAAGTAAGAGTAACTTAAAGAGTAACTGATTTATAATTTGAAGTGAATGTAATTTGAAGAACAAAACTTTAAATAATGCACAAAATTTAGTAAGGATAGACACAAAAATTAGAAATACTACATTATATCTGAAGGAGTGATCCAAGTAACTGAAAACTACCCACCTACTACTAGTTTTAATATAAGTAATTATTTTGATTGTGCGTTAGTCATTGTATTTCAAGAACAGAGTTTATGCACATATTACGTTTCCTCACACGTGTTTGGTTTTGCATTAATTTTCTGGAGACTGATCCTATGATTACTGATTACTAGCCTAACCTTAAAAGGATCTATATTACACAAAATTGACTTTTGTGAGCTTTCAGTCATGTTATAATGTTGTTATGTCATCACAAACATATCTGGAGTTGCATTTTGTTTCATTCACACATGTTTGAGTAACCCTTTGTTATTAGTCGTCTGCATCTCTAAAGCTCAAAATCCGTTCCACCTTGTGATGTCAGCTAATAGCTCCATTTGTACCTTTTTGATTGGCAATTCCTGGACTGAAATCAATCATCTAAATGATTTTAGTGAAGGTGTATGGAGTTTAAAAACACAGTGGAGCACTTCCTGTATTATCACATGACATCACAAGGTGAAACAGAGTGTCTTGAACATGTGTGAATGAAACAGACACAACAGCTCCAGGTCTGTTTGTGATGAGGAAACATTATAACATTAGACCAGAAAATAGCACAATATAGGCTCTTTAATCTAAGCATGAACATAAATTAACCCATATCTTAACTTTAAACCCACAATGTGATAAATACCTGCTAAACAACAAACAAACAAACAAACAATCCAAAATCTAGTTTCATGTTTTTTGGGGTTTTTTGGAGACAGTTGACATTGTGAAAAGGGGGTAAAGGGTGTGGACTGTACCAGTTTAGAAGAGCTGGTCTAAAAAGATAACTGACTGTATTGTTGTTACTCTCTCTACCTCTTCTGTGTTTCTCTCTCTCTTTCCCCCCTTCTTCTCTGTCTGTCTCTCTCCTCTTCTCTATCTGTCTGTCTCTCTCTTTCTCCCCCTCTTCTCTGTCTCTCTCTCTTTCTCCTCCTCTTCTCTATCTTTCTGTCTGTCTGTTTCTATCTCTCTATCTCTCTACCTCTCTTTTTCTCCTTATCTCTTCTGTGTCACCCTCCTCTCTCTATCTCCCTCTTCTTCTCTTCTCTTCTCCCCTCCCACGCTCCCTTTCTCCCCTTTCTCTCCCTCTGTCTACCCCCTTGTTCCCCCTACCACTCTCTCTCATCCTCCTCTTCTCTCCTGCCCCTCTTCTCTCTTCTTTCTATCTCCTCCTTTCTACCTCTCTCTGTCTCTCTATGTCTGTCTGTCTTTCTCTTTACAGATTTGACCATGAAGCTGTTAGTATTTGCGCTCGCCGTTGCCGTGCTGTTTACAGTGGGTGAGTCTGTCACTGATTCTCCAATGAACAAACTGTGTCTGAGCCACACGAGAGAACATAAGAACAATACTGAGAGACGAGACGGAGTCTGTACTCAGCTCCTGGAAACATGACATCAAGTACCAGGTGTTGGCTTAGAAGAAAATATAAGACAATGGCCTGGCTTTAGTATTTTAGTACTTGTGTTTTTGCACATCTCTCCTCTTCCGGGTTGAAAATGTGTTTGTGTTTGTGCAGGAGAGGGTCTGGACTGTCACAGGTGTGTGCCCAGACGTGCAGGGGAGGATTGCGAGCTCACCGTGGAGACGTGTAAACCAGGGAAGGACGGCTGTGCGGCTGCGAGGTTCACCAGAGCTCCATGTGAGGGACGCCACTCTGATCTGAGTCTTGTAACTAGTGTGAAGTGTGAAAAAAGTGTGAAAAAAATACCACAAAATCAAGATAAGTGATAAGATAAGTCAAGATACGTGATTGGTCTAACCAGTATCCACGCTTCAAACTCCGCCTCTTCAGCCAAGTGTTAAAGAAAAGAGTAACCCTGCGTTTTATTATCTTCCGACTCCCACTTGGACCTCGGATTTGACGTCATGTCCGAGCTTGAAGTGTATTATTATGTTTTGCGTGTTGGACTCCGTAGATGATGATTATGATTATTCCCTCATATTATGAAAACGCTGCCACTTTAATTAATTTGCACTTCATTTTATGTTTTGATTTCTCTTCCGTTACAACATTAGGGACGTTAACGCTCGTTAAATAAAGTATTTGTTCAATATTGGCCTCACCACAACAACAAATACCAAACCCACAGGCAGTGATACGGACGCGGTAAAGTACTGCAGTGAGACGAGTGACTGAAATTGTCATTAAATCACCAAAGCATCCAAACACAATGGAAACAGTTCATATTTACACGTCACAGTGGATTCTGACTCGGAATCCTTGCTCGGTCTACTTTTTCCGCCACTGAGATCCGAGTTTTGCCATCCCAGGAAAAGGGGCGTGTCATGCGTGTTGCTAGGAAACTTCCTCGGAAAACCGATTCAGAAAGATAATCAAACGCAGGAGAGAGGAAGAGAAGAGGGCGGGGTCTAGAAGTATAAAATACACTGGGATTGGTCTAACAGATGTCCACACTTCAAACTCCGCCCCCTGCCGCCAGGTGTTTATAGTCAGAAACAAATCAAGGCAGTACTGCGTGATGTCACATAGTACTTGAAATTGCATTGGCCACTGAAGGCAACACACACTTGGATTTAGATATTTTTGACCAGAAAACTGCAGATTTAACCAGGTTTCCACTAAATTTACTAAAAAGGACAAGGGACATAGTGCATTAAAACACCATGTACACAGTGTAGTAGAAAAAACAAAACAAAACGTGGCATTTGTGCTTAGAGACATGGGACAGATCAGTATTTTGTAAAAGGGTCTATTACAGGGGTGGGCAAGTATTTTTTCCATGGGGCCACATGAGAAACAGAAAATATTGTGGAGCGCCGGGCCTCAATTCTGCAAAATATTCATTGTATTTCTTCATAAAAAGCAGTAAATGGCACTGTTTTGACAAGCTGGTATGACTGGTAAGAGTCCAGTGAGATTCATTTGGTCTTCCAATATTCTATGTTATTAGGTTCTTTTTTTCAGACCTAGAGTGTTATTTCATACCTGACAGTTTCGACTGCTCACTAGCGTCTTCCTCCGTTGTAAGAACATTGTATGACAGAACCAACATCATAACAGATGAACAAGACAAACAGGAAGAAGACAGACACATTCACAATGTGCTAAGGCAATGCCAATACCCAAAATGGGCAATAAACAAAGGGAAACAACAGGTTAAGGAGAAAGAAAAACAGAACCAAAGAAACAAAAACAAAACAGAAAAAATGAGCACAGGCATGGTAACATTACCATACATCAGGGGCATAACAGAAAAAGTACAGAGGGCAATGAAAAAACACAATATCAACACACCAGTAAAACCGTACAGAAAACTCAGACAAATACTCGTTCACCCAAAAGACAAAATAGAACCGGAGCATAAATGTAATGTAATATACGAAATACCCTGCATGTCCTGCAATAAAACATACATCGGGGAAACAGGGAGGGCGTTCAGTACACGAAAAAAGGAACATAGAACAGAATGCGAGAAGGAAACAGCGAAGGCGTGCACACGAGCAACGAAACACAAAGCAGAACAGGAACAACTCAAATCGGCCATTTCTGACCATTGCAAAAGAGAGAACCACGTTATGGACTGGGATGGAGCAAACATCATTGGGACAGAGGAAAACAAACATCGCCGCTGGATTAAAGAAGCAATCGAAATAAGGAAACGTGCCCACAGGACTGTAAACCGGGACGAGGGGGCTTTTTTACTCTCACACACCTGGGATGCTGTCCTGAGGAAGTCGGACTGCAGATGGCGCTGTCGTCCTGCCTCCACCGGTAGGAAGACAGCGCCAAAACCTGTTTAAATCAGCTGACTGGACACGTCACAGCAACATCACGTGACTCTGAGGAAGACGCTAGTGAGCAGTCGAAACTGTCAGATATGAAATAACACTCTAGGTCTGAAAAAAAGAACCTAATAACATATGACTGGTAAGAGTTTATGTTATGACTAAGCAATGAAAAAATGAGGTTGCCTTACAAAGAAAATTCATTAATAAAGCTTCTAAAATAAAAGCAATGCAGCTTTTGTCCATGCATGAGGCAAAATTATAACAAATGTTTATTTTGTAATTCCAAATGATCTTAAATGGGCCAGTTAGACTCAACCAAAGGGCCATATGTGGCTCTGGAGCTGTACAATGCCCAGGACTGGTCTATTAGAAACTACTACAAATACTTCAATAGAGAAGAGACATGTCAAGATACTTCGATTATGGAGTAGCAAACAGGAGTAAGGGTACTGAGAACGGACCAAAGTATGCAGCTCAATCTGGATGTCTATTTGAATACTAAAAAATATTTTGGCAATTAGCTATATGATTTTGAGTCATTTAAAGCTGCATTCTGTAACTTTTTCTACGGAGATGTCATTACTCTGCCTGGAATATTCCACAGTATGATTTAAGACTGCTTTACATTACATTTATGCAATTACTGTTGTTTTTCTGCTCAAAAATACGTCAAAAAACAGGTATTCTTACTGTGAACGGGGTCGCCTCTCCACAGATCTGACCTGTAATGTGGTCTGGTTTAGTCTCCATGAAGATAGGAAGGCTTAATACAATAGTGTGAAACGTTCCAGACAAAGCAATCTCCATGGAAAAAAGTATTTGATGGACCCTCCACCAGAAAAGTTACACAATGTACCTTTAAATAAAAGAGGAAGGGAAGGAAGAGATGTTGTTGCTTATAGCCTACAATTCAGATCTGTGGAGAGGCAAGCCCACTCACAGCATGCTGCATATTTACTTAATTTGTACTAAAGTTACCAGAAAGTTACTAGGAACAGGATTTAGTGTTTAGTTCCTCTTTAAAAAGCTGGTATTAAAATGTCATTTCTTCCACAGTACGAATTATTTCCTTTTCTCCTGTTACAGTTGGTCAGTACCAGAAATGCATGGCTCTGAAAGACTGTGAAATGCTCAAGCTGAACGCCTACATCGATATTAAATGCTGTGGCGACGATTTGTGCAACACCTTTTAGAAGCCCATTCTAAAAAGAGTTCCACTAAAAGCAGCTTTGGAGGTGACCCAGCAGACAGGTGCGAGCGGAGCCGGGTCCAACGCTTCTCTGCATACACAATGTCCAGACCGCAATGAGAAATAAAGACGAGAAAATGCATGTGTTTAATGTGTTCATATTTTTTGGGGTCAGTTTTATAATGTGGTGTGGGTACCTTGTCCTATAGACCTACACTCACTGGTAGAATTTAACCAGAGGTGGGTAGAGTTGCCAAAATGAGCATTACTATGTGCTTTACTTACCGCATTTTTCAGACAATAAGGCACACCGGATTATAAGGTGCAATATCAATAATGTTGAATTCTCTCATCAATTTTCATACATAAGGCGCACCAGATTATAAAGCACATTAAGCAAAACAAACAGGCGACACTTGAGACTGATCCTTTAGTCCAGGCATCCACGATCCATTGGCAGATCGTGGCGTAATTCACCCGGTGTTGACTCCTTGTTTTGGTGAATGTGTATTATGAATGTCAATGTGGGTGGATCATTGAAGTTTGTTTTTTTATTTCCAATGATGAGGACTCAAATATACACTGAGTAATAATGTGTTTAATGCAGGTTTACGTACATTTGTTTACATTTTACAGAAATAAAACTTAAAGCCACATGGCTCATTTGCATAAACTATAAGCGTCGAAAAAACAGCTTGCTCGATGTGCCCTGATGCGTTCAGCTTCTGTCGGACTAAAGGACACGACTCACTTACTCCGCGAGGCTCCTGATTACGGCTCCGACAATTCATCAAGCCGTGTGGCTTTGTAGCTTACCATAGTCGTAGTAAAACATTTTGACAGACTTTTGAGTGCCGTGTAACACATAAAATCAGTTCGAGGTCTGTAAGCACAACTAGATTTTTGAGAAAATGAAAGGATTTTAAGTGTGTCTTAAAGTCTGAAAAATACGGTACTAAATAATATTACTCAAGCAGAAGTAGGGTCCAGAATACACACTTCTACAATAGGCTCTATTCACAGTTCACAAACCAGGAAGATGTTTGGAAACATGCAATGACAACTTCCACTGTAGTTCACGACACTGGGCTCACTGACCGACTCTGATAAAACCCACTGAAGTAAATGTGATCAGCGGTGAAATGAAGACTGTATACGTATGTGCTGTTTGGAATAATCTTAAATTTGGCGTCTCATCTCTTCTAATCGCATGTACCCAGTGTGCTCAGAGTTGTGTGTCAGTGGGGAAATGATGAACACTGAGGTAGGGTTGTAATTATTGATTAGCCGAACATAACAGAACGCTATAATGACACACTAATTTTTCCGAGATTTTGTCAAACTTACTACCGTGAACAGAGCCCACTGGAAGTTGTCATCGCATCTTTCCAAACATCTTCCTGGTTTGTGATGTAACGTGAATAGAGCGTATATTTTCAGATGTGAGTTTGGTGAATCTCCTTGAGTTCCAATGGGAGTGATTGACAGGTGGATTATCCAATCAGGGACACGCAGGATCTGTCTGTATCAAAACAAAAGCAACAGCAAATAATATAGAGATGTCATTCTGGATTTTCCAAGTAAGAACTAAAAAGTTGTCATCCAAGAAATGACTAAAAAGGAGTAGAAAAAAACTATTTGAAAAGTTCAGCCTTGAAATAACATCGCTTTTGTAATTTGAAGTTAACATTAAATAATTAAAAAAACATCTGGTGTTTCAAAGGGTGGACGACAAAAATGAACACAAATCAGTACTGTCAAAATAAAGCCTTTGTAACATATAAACGTTTACTTAAATAAGAGTACTGTTACTTTAAAAATACTCAGGTATAAGTAAAAATATACTGCTAGAGAGTTGAACTAGGTCACTGCTTTAGGTGTCGAGATGTTACTGTTAAAATGAACTTGTTTTGACTGTCGATTTGTCAGTCAGTCCATAAGGAGAGCTTCCAAGCTGGAGGATAAAATGTACTTTCTATTTTCTGTTGATAATGGTGGAAACGAGAGTACACGGGGAGAACAATTTCTGGCACAACAATGCTAACTACTAAAACATAGAACAATACGACAAAGACATATTTACATAACCACTTTTGGCTTTAATGATTACAATCAAAACATTTGTACAACATTTTCAACATTAGAAAATGGAGTCTTTTGGCTGACTCAACCGCTTGGATCCTGAACCGAGAAACATGGACAGAGTTTGAATGTAGTAGAAAAAGAGACATGGGACAGACCAGTATTTTGTAAAAGGGTCTATGAGAAACTACTACAGATACTTCAATAGAGAAGAGACATGACTTCAATTTTGGAGTAGCAAACAGGAGCAAGGGTACTGCATTTATTAATATGTAGTTTAATCTGGATTATCTTTTTGAAAACGTAGTTACAATATTTGCGCAGGTGACGCTACCTGGCCAAGTTACAGGTCAGGTTTGTGGAGGGGCGAGCCTACTGAAAGCAAAAAATAAATAAAAACACATGTTTTAGCACCTGGAAATGAATAAATACAAGAAAGATCATCTTAATGTTATAAAATACACCTTTAAGTGCAAATAATAATACTTACAAAACAAAATAATATATAACTGAACTAAGATTGTGTTCTGAAATTCCAATTAAAACACCTAAACTCCGCACACAACTACATTTCTACAGTCTTGCGTCACTAACTACTTGAAATTGCACACACGTATAGTACATAGGTTGTCCAATTGCGTCTGTCTGCTCCTCCAAAACCAGACGGCACCGTTTTCTACCTAAACTACCTGAGTATCTTAAAGACTACGTTTTACAAAATTCTATTCTTCCCTGTGAGCCCAGCCAGTTGTAGATGGAAAAGAAGAAACCAAACAACACTGCAAAAGTTTAGCTCTAGAATAGAGCTCAACGATGACCGTCCACCCCCAGTTTTGGAAGTAAATTTCTCATTCATTTTCCCATAGACTTGAAAAAAATAAAAATAACATTAAAAGTTTGACAGCTAGCTCAGGGCTAATCAGCTAAGCGCTAACTACTGACCACAAAACCTGTAATTTTATTGTAAGCCTGTTTCTAAATTGTTAAAAACTGCTCTGCTATAAAAGTATTTTGCAGAATCATGTGTCTTAAATGTGCTTTTCTTTTTGGACTTTGAACAGCTGTGTTACGGATATTAGTTAGCACGTAGCTAGTTAGCGCGTAGCTAGTTAGCACGTAGCTGGTTAGCCTCTGCAATGTCTTTGAACTCTTAATATTTGAACATTTTGAAAAGTTTTTGAGAAAAATGAATGGAAAATTTACTTCCAGAAGCAGAGCGGGCTGTCACTTTTGAGGTTTATCTGTCAAAATAATGAAATTCAGAATTATAATCTAGATTTCTATAATTTTCACGCGGTTGGATTTAATTGCATATTTGTCCTAGATTATTTAATTTCTATTGTATAATTTCTGATTTAATTCAAAGTAATATAACTTGAACTGAACAGAATGGCTATTTTTATTTTATTATTTTTTTTGTTTTGCAGTGAATGTCTGTTTCTAGGGCAAGTACAATATATGGCGGATGCAACACTTTTCTCTTATCTCCAGTAATTTAAAGATGCACTTTGCAACTTTTCTAGTAGTCTCCATGCTGCTTGTTTCCATGGAGATGTTAAAACTTTGCTTGGAATGTTCCGGAGTATGGTAGAGGCAGGTGACGCCATCAGGCCACGTTACTGGTCAGATCTGTGGAGAGGGAGCTCTGTAGCTGTAAGAATTCTGTTTTTGAAGGGAATAAAATAATCTGGAACTGAATGCAAAACTAGACAGTAGTGCTGTCGTGATACTAAAATTTCAAACTCATTTTCGATATTAATATACTCGATACTGATTCCCATACGTTATTCAGACAATAGAATGTAATTTCCAAAATAAAATCGTAGTACTTTTAAATTTTTATTCTGATACAGCTCAAGGTTCATTTTTGTCCTGTGAGTGCGTTTTGTTTTGCTTTTTGAGTGCTGCAAAATTACTGAATGAACTACTACTACTACTACTACTACTACTACTACTTTTTAGTCTCGATACCTCCTTAAATGAGTATCAAGTTTCGATACAAGTTTTAATATCGATTAGTATCTGATTTTCAATACTTTTGACAACCTGACGAGATAAACAAGTTTAATGCCATACTGTGGAACATTCCAGGAAAAGCAACATCATCTCCATGGAGACAAGCAGGCGGCAGACCCTCCACCAGAAAAGTTACGCAGTGCACCTTTAAACAGAGGCGCTTGTAGCTGATTATATGAAAACGAGAAGCGGGGATGCATCAAGCCACTTTCTACCTCTGGACTTAGTAAGGACTTTCTTTACCAAGCACAGCAAGAAATAAATTCATAGAAAAGAAGATTTAAAATAAAAACATTTGTTCGGATACACCCAGATTATAGTCACTTGTGTTTAGCATCAATTAGCATCCGTGCTAATCACAGTTTCTCAAACACGCTAAGAAAAAAACGAGGATGACAAAGGGAGAGGGGGGACTGGTAACTAAGAGTGGAGTCAGAGCCCTAAATTTACAGTCAGTACGTTACATGCACAGGTTAGGTACACTTAATGGTCCGATATTATGCAAAATTTATGTTATTACCTCTTCAAAAACATACCTGGAGTTGTATTTTGTTTCATTCACACATGTTTGAGTAAGTCTGTGTTAGTCTGTCAACATCTCTAAATCAAAATGCTCAAAAATTCCACCTTCTGATGTCACGAAGCAGGAGTTTTCATGTCAAATTGGCAATTCCATGGCTGAAATTATCCAAATGAATCAAGAGAAAGTGTATGGAGTTTAAAAACACAGTGGAGCACTTCCTGTATTACGGTTTGAGAGAAGAACTCAGCCTAAATATGCAAGGTTTGTGTGTTAAACATTTGCAAAAAAAAACAAAACAAAACACAACTCCAGGTCTGTTTTATGAGGAAACAACATTATAACATAGATGAGAAAATAAATATGAAACAAATATGGACCCTTTAAAACTAGACAAAAGAAGGTAGACTAATGATGTTTTCAGGTGGATTTTCAGGATGTTTTAGTTTCCACTTCTTACAAGTTAAAAGAGATGTTTCAAATCTTAATGATGGACTACATTTTTACGTTTAATATTGGGTATTCCAACTTTAGTAATCTGCCGTAGTTGTACAAGTAAATAAAAATACAAACACCCTTTTACAAATTAGGTAAACAATTTATCATTTACAGTGTTTAAATTTCCCAATTCTTTTGATCTCGCATAAGATAAGACACTAGAACATGGTGGTGGTTGTCGTCATCTCTCTATACTTTTTAAAACTGCCAAATAAATAAATATATTATGTATTTGATATGAAAAACCTGTCCAATTTAACCTTGCATTTAAGTTTACGTACAGTGGTATTTGATCCATGTAATAAGAACTATTTTGAATTAATTTCCATCTAACCATCTTGTTTTAAATTGTTTGTGTGGAAGCTACTGAAAATCCTTATAGATCTGCTTCACCTAATCCAGCATATGAAGAAACAAACAAAACATAAACAAAGAGCCAATCCATAACGAACATGAATGAATTATTAAGAATGATTCAGGCTAATACGGTAACTGCGAACCGCTTAAAGAAGACATACTGTGCTTGTGCTATCTACACAACACCCGTGGATCGTTATGTTTTAATTAGAGAGAAAAGAAATTAGGAGAATTAAGTAAGTACAGAGCAGGTGCATCGGAGCAATGACGTCTTGAATACAGCAGAATAAAGATTACTCAAACATGGATGAATCACTCTAAAAACACAACTTCGTGAGGGTAAATGAGAAGGGAACAACTATAACGTGGTTAAAAGCTCTAAAAGGTTGATTTTGCATAACAGGTCTGCTTTAATTAAGGTTACTAAAACTGGTTTATTCCAAGTTAATTAACTAAATAATGAGAACCTTACCAACTGTGTAAGATCTTTGCATATAACCCCACATTAAAGGTCCCATATTATGCAAAATGTAATCTTGTATGCTCTAAGTGTCTATGTTATAATGCTATTACCTCATCAAAAACATGCTTGGAGTTGTGTTTTGTTTCATTCACACAAGTTTGAGTAATCCTTTATTATTAGTCAGTCATCATCTCCAAAGCTCAAAATGCTCTTTTCCACCTCATGAAGTGCTTCCTTTTAGCTTTAGTTCAGTAAAGATTGGTAATTCCAAGGCTGAAAATCATCCAAATGATTCTAGTGAAGGTGTATGGAGTTTAAAAACACAGTGGAGCACTTCCTGTATCACCACATAACATCACAAGGTGGAACTGAGTGTTTGAGAGAAGACCTCAGCATAAATATTCAAGGTTTGTTTAGCGGTGGAGGGTCCGTCAAATGCTTTTTTTTTTCTTGGAGATGTTGCTGCTTTGCCTGAAATGTTTCACAGTATGGCTTTAAACCTTTCTATCTTCACGGAGACCAAACCAGAGTTACCTACCAAGTTACAGGTCAGATCTGTGGAGAGGCGACCCCGCTCATTATCAGAATGCCTGTTTTTGTTTGTATTTTTGAGCTAAAAAAAGCAAAACAAAACTGTAACTGAATAAATGTAAGGTAGAGCTGTTTAATGTCATACTGTGGAACATTCCAGGTCGAGAAATGACATCTCCATAGCAACAAGCAGGCGACAGACCTTTAAACATGTGCGAAAGAAACAAAACACAACTCCAAATCTGTTTGTGATGAGGAAACATTATAACATCGATCAGAAAACAGCGTAATATGGGCGCTTTAACGACGAGGGCGTGTACGACGAGTATTTCCCCTCTTGCATGTAAACGTACTGACTTTAGGGAGTATTTCTGACATGTGGGGCTTTTTGAGGGTGGAGTCAGCTGAGGTGGAGGACTGGCAGCGAGCCTTCAAGTATCGGGATTTCCCAGTGCAGTGTCCGGTTGGGTGAGTGGGTCAGGTGGGCTCTACATCACGGAGCAGGAGGTCTTTCCGGGTTGCACGCCTCCGTCCATCTTCTCCGCCTCCAAAATCATCCTTCGGAAAACCTCTACGGCCGTCTACAAGCAGAGGAAAGGAGGGAAAGGAAGAAAAAGTGACATTACTGTGCGCGCTAGGGTTGTCAAAAGAAGCGACAGAAGGACAAGACAGAAATGAACGTTTTCTGAAGAGCTTTAGAATTATCTTGAGTTGTATGAGAACAAGTATAAAAGCACATAAACTAGTATATGCCAGCAAATAGTCCATGAGGAGGCGGGCAGTGATTACACACGGGCGGGTCAGGTGAATCAAATAAATGACGAACGGGAGAAAAATACTTGACGCTCGTCCAGCCCGTCCGTTGCCCTGGAAACATGTGACATTGCCCGGTCTTTTCCTGGAATGATGAACCAGGTTGACCGAGTGACTTTGGTGTATTTATTACATAAAACCCCATCAGTGGAGGTGATCGGCTCAGTGGCTGCGCTCCTGGTTTAGTCCTGGTTTAGTCCTGGTTTAGTCCTGGTTCAGTCCTGGTTCAGTCCTGATTCTGTCCTGGTTCAGTCCTGGTTTAGACCTGGTCCAGTCCTGATTCAGTCTTGGTCCAGTCTTGATGTAGTCCTGTCAATCGGCTCTGTGGTTTGCAGAGTGAATATATTTATAATCCACTAATGACACGGCGTAGGTTCAGTCCTAGTTAAGTGCTGGTTTACACCTGGTTTAGTCCTGGTTCATTCCTGGTCCAGTCCTGGTGTAGTCCTGGTGTAGTCCTGTCGATCGGCTTTGTGGTTTGCGGAGTGTATGTATTTATAATCTGCTAATGACACGGCGTAGGTTCAGTCCGGGTTAAGTCCTGGTTTAGTCCTGGTTCAGTCCTGGTTCAGTCCTGGTTCAGTACACTTACTCATTGTCCGCATTTGTAAATAGTTCATATAGTTTAATGTATAATGTCTGAAAAATGCAAAAGAAAGCTCATGTTAAATTAGAAGAGGGGGGTGGGATTAAAGTTTTCTTCTTCCCACTCCGTTTTGGGCATTTTGTTGTTGTTGTTGTTGTTGTGGTTATTTCTATTATGATTTCACTAATGTTACATGTTCCATTGTAAAAGAACGTAAACCTCTTACTTGCCCAAAATAAATACATAAATAAAATAATAATAATATATATTTTTTTAAAGTGAAAAAGTGACATCGATCCAATACAGAGCCCAATATGTTTTGTGTTAAAATGTACTGAAATTCCTTCATAATTTGAAGAGGTTTTGAACAGATCTAAACTGATTTATACAGAACAACAGAAAAAACAAGTGAGTGAGTTAGCTGAAGAGTTTAGTATTTTTTCGTATTTATGTAAAAAAGCAGATTATACTCATGACTCACAAACTTATTCCATCTTCATATTCATTCATTGAATTCATTGTTTCCTAGTACATTTTTTCTGTATAGGTAGATGTTTTGCAAGGTTTTCAGTGCAGGTTTAGCCTTGTGAGTGTAGTTTTGGTCAAATACACAAAAATACGTAATCGTTTTGAGAGATTTTGCCACACCCCCTTTTGTAGTCCACTAACTGATCGATCGAAAAGTATTTTTCCAGTCGACTACAGCCCTAGTTGACTACCATAAAGCCAAATAACCATAAAAGTACACAAATATCTTTTATCTATTTACGTTTTATCTGTTGTGTATTTGAGAAAATCTGATGCCGGATCCCTCCCATTTCTTGGACGTTGTGGTGGAATTGGATTTGAGTGTTTTATGGGGTTTTATTTAATCTTATTTGTGCATTATTTTTGTCTTTTTGTATTTGTTTTGGTAAATATTAAAATCAATAAAAAAAAAGAAAAAGTCATGATGCGCTTCACAGTACTTCCATCACGTACCTGGTTTTCTTTAGCCGAGGATTCCATGAAAGCGGCGTTCCAGGACTCGGCTAAAGCTTTTCCCTCTTCACAACTGATTACTCTGAAAATAGACACGGGAACAGTCTGTGATGAGGCAACAGCGAAAATTGTTCAATGAGAGGTTGTGGTGTGATGACGAGTTAACAGTTTTGAATGAATCATGAAAAAGACAGAGGATATGCTCAGTGCTGGAAATAAGTATTCTACTAAACTATAAATTTTAGGTATCTGTACTTGACTTAAAAGGTTTACTGTGTAACTTTTCCGGTGGAGGGTCCGCCATCTGCTTGTTTCCATGGAGATAATTAAATGACAATAAGGAGTCAAGCAGGTGACGGACCCTCCACCAGAAAAGTTACACAGTGCATCTATCAAAATCAGTATATCTGAAGCTTTATTATATCGCAAAATCTGTGGAAAACACTTTCACTTTTTACTCTTCACTTCTACTTTGTCAAGACTGAGATTTAAGGAGGTCTGTTTAAATCCTGATTAAGTCCTGGTTAAGTCCTAGTTAAGTCTTGGTTAAGTCCTAGTTAAATCCTGTTGTTTTTTTTTTATATTTGCTTGTGCTCGGTCCTGGCTGGATTTAGTTTTGTACTGGTTTGGTCCTGGTTTTGTTCTGGTTCAATCCCAATATAGTGTGTAATCCTAAATGAAACTGGGGTAACCATTAACTAGTTTCTCTTCATTTAAATCCTGGTTTAGTCCTGGTTTACACCTGCTTTAGACCTGGTTTGGTCCTGGTTTAGTCCCAATGTAGAATGTAATCCTAAATGGAATTTGGTAATCATTAACTAGCCCTGTATTTACCCCTGATTTAGGCCTGGTTAAATCCTGGTTTACTTATTCCTGTTTTTTCTTTTAACACATTCTTAATTCTAGGTAATCATTAACTATTTTCTCTTCATTTAAGTCGAGGTTTAGTCCTGGTTTAGACCTGGTTAAGTCTTTGTTTAGTCCTGATTTAGGCCTGGTTTAGACATAGTTTAGTCCTTGTTTAATCCTGGTTTAGTCCTGGTTTAGCCCTGTTTTAGACCTGATTTAGGTCTGGTTTAGACATGGTTTAATCCTGATTTGGTCCTTTTTTAGTCCTGTTTTAGACCTGTTTTAGCCCTGGTTTAGGCCTGGGTTTAGACCTGGTTTAGTCCTGGTTTAGGCCTGGTTTAGCCCTGATTTAGACTTTATTTAGACCTGGTTTAGCCCTGATTTAGACTTTATTTAGAACTGGTTTAGTCCTGGTTTAGCCCTGTTTTACACCTGATTTAGGCCTGGTTTAATCCTAGTTTACTAATCCCGTGTTTTGTCTCAACACTTTCTTAATTCTAGTCTTATTTATTTAAAATATTTCAGTGGATTCGCCAATACACAACTCAATTTTTACTATGAACACCTTTGCAGAATCGCACAGACTAAGATGTGTACCGTGAGGCTGCAACCTGTTGGAGAAAGATCTACTGTTCTGTGCTCTGTGGGCTTATTAAATTGTACGAGTCGAGTTTTGTACATACCGCTCCATATGTAGGTCATTCTTGTTTCCCACCAGCATAATTGGTACTCTGGATTGAGGCAAAGCAAAGCACGTCATTTACTGTGAGAATGATACGCACCCGAGCCTCAGTCAAAACAACACATGAGGATGGAGAAGAAGAAGAAGAAGGAGAACTTACTGAACTTTGCCCACCATATCCAACAGCTTTTCATGGATGACTTGAACGACTTCAAAGCTGCGAAGATAAGGCTGTGTAAAGTGATTTTCAACACATTATAGACAACTAGAGGAAGTGCTGTAGGTGTCGGAGCTCATTGTCTCGGTTATCACAACTGAACATGGATCGCATGTGCCTCAAGGGTCCAATATTACACCACATTTATTCTTGTGAGCTTTAAAGGTGCACTGTGTAATATTTCCACTAGGGGTGTACAAAAATATTGAAATATCAATATATCGTGTAGTTTAAAGTGATGATACATGATATTATCGTGGGCTGCTGTATCAATATATCGCCAAGAGAATTTTTTGGTTTATTTTACTAAATTATTTTGTTACAGCGCTACAGTTTTGACGCTTGTTTAGAAAAAAAAAAAACTCATTTATGTGACACATTTGACATTTTCACTGTTTTTAGGATTAAAATGTTTGTGTTTCAAATGAACTTTACACAAGAAGTGGTTTAACAAAGACTTTTAGTATCACAGCCACAATTTAGACTTTATTTTTACTGAATCATATCGAATCGATTTGAACTGCAATGTATCATATCGTGGCCTATGTATCCTATGTATCCTATTGGCAATTTCTTAATTTCCACCTGCTAATCTCCATGGAAATGCTATTACTTTGTCTAGAATGTTCCACATATAGATTAAACCCGTTCAATTCAGATCTGTGGAGAGGTGCCCCTATTCACAGAGGGAGTTATTGTATTTTTGAGCAATAGAAACACCTGTAATGAATAAAAATGGAAATGGAAATGTCATATCATGGAACATTCCAGGGAAAGCAATGACATCTCCACAGAGACAAGCAGGTAGTGGCAGAGGCGGCGCTACCATTAGACAAATGTAGGCGACTGCCGAGGGCCCCCAAACCTTAAGGGGCCCCAGTGCCACTAACGGCCTCAGAGCAATTTGGTTTTCTCTCAATATGACATTAAATGAGAGTAGTTTACTTTTAAACAATAATCATAAGAAAAACAATAATCATACAAGCAAAAAAAATTTTTAGAAAACAAAACTAATTTCAACTCTGGTTTTCTAGTAGGTGACCGAACTAGTAAGACAAGTTTCCAATCCATCATGATTCAAATAGAAATGTGCGTGTCTCAAGAACAATAGGGAAAAACAGACAATGAATATATATATAAAACAAAACAAACAAACAAAAAAAACGGTGCATTATAGTGAGGGCCCCAATCTCCCTCCACCAGAAAAGTTGTGCAGTGTTATAATGTTGTTACTAGGGATGTAACGATATCCAAATCTCATGGTACAATATTATCACGATATTCATTTCACAGTACGATATTTATTGCGATATTTTGGAGAGGCTGATATAATTGTAGATGGATACTTTTTGCTTTTAAAATACCTCGAGAAGACTGTAGTGACTGAAGATGTGAATCATCACTATCATAATCTCAAAAATTAAATAGAAAAACATATTTCTTCACATTGTTTGCACTGAGATGAATCATAGGATATGTAGTTCCTGATGTTTATTAGCTGTTGCTACTACAAAACAATGCATTTAGACAAAGGAGCTTGTAATTCGATATATTGTGACAGCCCACGATATTATTGTGAGACTTTCGATGATACAATATCACAATATTTCGATTATTGTTACATCCCTAGTTGTTACCTCATCAAAAAACAAACCTGGAGTTGTGTTTTGTTTCATTCACACGTGTTTGAGTAACACTTTATTATTAGTCTGTCTGAACTCAGAATATGCAGGATTTGTGTGTTAAACATGTGTAAATGAAACAAAACACAACTATGGGTATGTTTTTAGTGAGGAAACATTAAAACATAAATCAGAAAATAGCGTAACATGGGCCCTTTGAGTTAATTTCTCAGAACAAATCACCATTACAATATGTTCTACAAACGGCTAATAGGCTGGCATGGTACCTTTTATTAGATGTGACTGAATAGACCAGGATGTAGCCGTTGATATCTATGGAATAGGTCTGTGGGAAGATGGAATACTCATCCTGAAAAAAAGAAAAGAAAAGAAACAGCATTAAAATCATTCAAACAAGGATTCAAATAAGACTGCATATTATATTACGCCTGAAGAGTATTTCCTGATCATTTTCAATTACAGATTTCCAGTAGCGGAATGTAACAAAGCAAAAATAGTAAAGTACTATACTGAAGTACACATTTTAAGTATCTGTACTTTACTTAAGTAGATTTTGAAATGGATACTTTTACTTTTATTTCTCTACATTTCAGAGCAGATGTCTGTACTTTCTACTCCACTACATTTTTGGACTGGACTGAAAAGTAAGAGAAAGAAAGTAAGTAAGCAAGTAAGTAAGAATGTAAGTAAGTAAGTAAGAAAGGAAGAAAGAAAGGAAGGAAGAATGTAAGTAAGTAAGTAAATAAGTAAGTAAGAAAGTAAATAAGTAAGAAAGGAAGAATGTAAGTAAGTAAGTAAGTAAGTAAGTAAGTAAGGAAGGAAGGAAGGAAGGAAAGAAGGAAGAAAGGAGAAGGATTTTTTTATGATAGTTTTGGACCTGCTGAAAAGGCTGAGGGGTTTCATTTGAAGCTTTATTAGATCTCAAAATCTGATACTACTTTTACTTTACTCTTCTTGTGATACTTTTACTTTTGCTTGAGTATTTTTTGCTCCAGCAGATTTATTTATTTTGCTCCAGTTACATTTACTTGACAAAATTGAGTACCTCTTCCACCCCTGTAGATTTCACAATATCAGTATTAGTGTTATGATATTAGGGCTGCAACAAACTGTATAGTCCGGTTAACAATTATGATTATCAAAATACAACAATTTAAAGTTTATTGACACCATGGCAACAGTGAAATGTGTAATTTACTTAAATTCAGAATATCTCATTACAATGCACTTCCCCTGTATGCGACCCGCTTTATACAGAATAACAGATCTTCTGTCCTGAAGACTTTTTTTGGCCAGGGCAGCTGCAGTGTGACATTGGGGGGAGAGACATTTGTTAAACTTAAAGAGCCTATATTATGTTATTTTCTGATCTGTTATAATGTTGTTTCCTCATCACAAACACACCTGGAGTTGTGTTTTGTTTCATTCACACATGTTTAACACACAAATTCTGCATGTTTAGGTTCTTCTCTCAAACACTCTGTTCCACTTGGTGACTTCATGTGGTAATACAGGTGCTAACCCTAACCCTATGGAAAATAATTTGTTCCATGAGATTTAGAATTTTAAATACTGCTGAATTTCTTGCTTTGAATTTGTTATCTGTTTGAATTAATTTTATTCTGAATTTCAGTTGCTGAAATTTTAAATATACTTTTTCAATATGTTTCACATTTAAAATGAAAAATTCACCTTTTAAATATTCAGCACAAATATTTTCATGCTCTCAAATTTAACAGTCAAAATTCAGATTGTAAAACTGGCAGTGAAAAATTTCAGAAGAAATTTGAGGGCTTGAAAATATTTGTGCTGAATATTTTGTTTTTAATACTGAATTTTTAACACAAAAGAAAAGGTTAACTTAAAATTTTAGCAACTAAAATTCTAAATAAAAATAACTCAAATATGTTTTTTGAAAAATTCATTGAGTGGTATTTAAAATTCAAAATCTGAAGGAACAAATTATCTTCCATATGCTCCACTGTGTTTTTAAACTCCGTATGCCTTCACTAGAATCATTTGGACGTTTTCAGCGCTGGAATTGCCGATCTATACTGAACAAATGGTGAAAAAAAAAAAAAACTAAGACAAAAAAATTTTGGGTTTTCATTGTCTGTAAACCAAATATAGGAAGTGGTAATACAGGAAGTGCTCCACTGAGTTTTTAAACTCCATATACCTTCACTAAAATCATTTGGATAATTTCAGCTATGGAATTTTTCTGGAAGATAGCTGTTAATTGGAAAACTACCACCACCACATGACATCACAAGGTGGAACACAACATTTTGAGTTTTGGAGATATAGACAGACTAATAATCCAGGATTCCTCAAACATGTGCGAGTGAAATAAAACACAACTTGGGTATATTTTGATGAGATAACAACATTATAGCATGACTTAAAGCTCACAAGAGTCAATTTTGTGTAATATAGGACCTTTAAAAAAAAAACAATTTTGCATTTATATCTATAACCAGTAATAATCTGTTATACTAATTGGTTGATGAGCTATTCAAACATCATCTTCTTCTATTTTTAATATTCATTACATTACAAACCTTCAATTTTCTACGCAAAGGCTTAGATTTGAACCCAATTACTGTGTGTAGAAAAATGTTATGGATCAAATCAAGATAGAATAATTTGAATGCTGTTTTTTCCCCCCTCTCCTATTGGATGCCGTACATTGTGCGTCACGATGTAGCTTCTGACAGCTCGTGACAGCTCAAATGATTATTCTTCATGAACATTATTGCGGACGGCCATGTTGGATTTGCATTACATATAAATGAGAGTGAGTCATACCTGGCCCGCCGTGTCCACCAGCTGCAGATGGTACTCCTGTCCGTTTATTGTGATCATTTTAGTAAACGCTGCGAAGAGACAAAGCACAAAATGCATTAGAATATAAGAGGAACTGCATATAATACTAGTGTCGGAACCATCTCATTTCAGATTAAATTTGAGATTGTGATAGTGCTGTCACGATACCCAAATGTCAAATTTGATTTCGATTAGGGCTGGGAATTGCTCATTATTCAATACAATACACAATACATGGCTCACAGTACGATATTATCAAAAATACATCAGTTTTAATCATCAACACAGTGAATATGTCAACAAAATTGTAGTGTGGTCACAAACAACATTGCTAAAAGATACCAAAAAATTATCTTGGTGATATATCGACACAGCAGCCCATGATAACAATACCATAGCACCAAATTTAGTATCACGATATACTGATATTTTTGCACCACATTTCAATACTGAGGAATAGACTTGATACTCAATACCAATTCCAATACGGCGATGACAGTAAAAAAATAAACTATCTTTATTTAGACAACAGAATGTGATTTTCAACACTGGCAGTAGTTGGAAGAGCATTTGCCCACTGATCTGAAAGATGATGGTTTGAATCCTGCTTTCGACATAAACATCACGGGTGGAGCGGTCACATCCACTGACCCATAGGTTGGCTGGTGTGATTCCAGCTCCCACAGATGAATGTTGTCATTGTGTCCTTGGGCAAGACACTTAACCCACCTTGCCTGCAGTGTCTGTGTGCACTTGTGTGTGAATGTGTGAGTGGTTCCTTGTTGTAAAGCGCATTGAGTGCCTTGAAGGTAGAAAACTGTGACCATTCTGTGACTGAACTGTAGTAATTTCTTTTCTATTACCATGTGATGTGGTTTTATATCTGTGTAATCGACAAGTGGTCCAGGTAGGTTCCATAGAGGTCCATGGGCGTATAATAGTTTATGTAGTCTTATATTTGTTCTGATATAGCTGAAGATCATTCTATTCAGGAAAGGTTCATTTCTGTTCTGAGTACCTAGATTCGATACTAGTTTTAGTTTCAATTAGTATCTAGCTTTTGATACTTTTCACAACCTTAGATTGAGATAAATCATGTTCTGTATCATGAATTAAAGTAGAAAAGCTCAACCAGGAATGGGAGTTGAAAATGAGACTTGCTCTACACATACATGTCACATCAGCTGCAAGCTTTGTTTTGTAACCATGTCTGATTGCGTTGTCCCTGCCAAATATATAAATAAATGATCCGTGTGATAAGGTGATCTAAATATGTTATGTGTTAGCAATTAGTACTCTATAGTGCACATTAATGAAAGTGCATATTTTGAGCAAAAACATCTATATTTTTAATTTTCATTCCGCACTCTTCTCTCTGATTTAATGTCTCTCTTTCTTTTTAATTTTATGATTATTTATGTTTTGATTAGTTTGTATTGTGACTTTAATGTATTTCTTATTATCTAAAGCACTTGTACAAATTGTGCTGTACAAATAATCTTGCCTTGCCTTGCCTTGCTATACAGTCTGCTATAAGTGGTCTGTTCTCATTCTTTAAAAACGGTAAGAAAAAACATAATATTACCTCAGACTTATTCCACTTTAAGCAAGGTATTGTTCGTAGTTCACAGTTCATTGTCAAGCATAAAAACGAACTTTGCTGATCATTCTTATTTGTTAGGACATATAGAAATCACCATGTTACCTTTTATTGTTGAAAATGTTATTATTGTTATTGTTGAAAATGCTGTATTATACAACATATTAACATGTTTTAAAGGTTTCAGTTTCGTTTTTGACCTTATCAGACACTCCCCCTACTGAGCGCCACTAATGAAACTACTACACATCGCATCAGGTTTGTGAAGTTGTACTGTATTATTTATTTTGTGTCCTCCTTTTGTATATTTATGTAAAAAGGCTTGTAATACAGGAAGTACTCTACTGTGTTTTCAAACTCCACACACCTTCACTAGAATCATTTGGATAATTTCAGCTCTGGAATTGCCAGTCTCTACTGAACAAAAGGTAAAAGGCAGCTGTTAACTTGAAAATCACAAGGTGGAACTGAACAATTTCAGCTTTAGAGATGTAGACTGACTAATAATAAATGGATTACTCATGTGTGAAGGAAACAAAACACAACTCCAGGTCTGTTTTTGAGCGGGTAACAATATTCTAAAATGGTGTAAAGCTCAAAAGAGTCAATTTGCGTAATGTCAGACCTTTAAAAGTGCATTATGTAACTTTTCTGGTGGAGGTCCCTCAATGTTTTTCTTCATGGAGATGTTATTGCTTTGTCTGGAATGTTTCACAGTGTGGTATTAAACCTTTCCATCTTCTCTAGTAGTAGTAGTAGAAGTAGTAGTAGTAGTAGTAGTAGTAGTACGGTAGTTGTAGTTGTAGTCATTGTAATAGTTGTTGTAGTAGTTGTAGTAGTTGTAGTAGTTGTAGTAGTTGTAGTAGTAGTTAGTAGTAGTTGTAGTAGTAGTTATTGTAGTAGTAGTTGTTGTAGTAGTAGTTGTTGTAGTTGTTGTTGTAGTAGTAGTTGTAGTAGTAGTTGTTGTAGTAGTTGTAATAGTTGTTGTAGTAGTAGTAGTAGTAGTTGTAGTAGTAGTTGTTGTAGTAGTAGTTCTGGTAGTAGTAGTTGTAGTAGTTGTTATAGTAGCAGTTGTTGTAGTAGTAGTAGTTGTAGTAGTAGTAGTAGTTGTTGTTGTAGTTGTAGTAGTTAGTAGTAGTAGTAGTAGTAGTAGTAGTTGTTGTTGTAGTAGTAGTTCTGGTAGTAGTAGTTGTAGTAGTTGTTGTAGTTGTTATAGTAGTAGTAGTTGTTGTTGTTGTAGTAGTAGTTGTAGTAGTAGTAGTAGTAGTAGTAGTAGTAGTTGTAGTTGTTGTAGTGGTATCAGTGGTAGTAGTAGTAGTAGCTGTTGTTGTTATAGTAGTTGTAGTTGCTGTAGTTGTTGTAGTTGTAGTTGTAGTAGTTGTTGTAGTTGTTGTAGTAGTAGTAGTAGTTGGTAGTAGTAGTGTTAGTAGTAGTTAGTAGTAGTAGTAGTAGTAGTTGTAGTAGTAGTAGTAGTAGTTGTTGTAGTAGTAGTAGTAGTAGTAGTAGTAGTAGTTGTTGTTGTAGTAGTAGTTCTGTAGTAGTAGTAGTAGTAGTAGTTGTAGTTGTAGTTGTTAGTAGTAGTAGTAGTAGTAGTAGTAGTTGTTGTTGTTGTAGTGGTATCAGTGGTAGTAGTAGTAGTAGCTGTTGTTGTTATAGTAGTTGTAGTTGCTGTAGTTGTTGTAGTTGTAGTTGTAGTAGTAGTTGTTGTAGTAGTTGTAATAGTTGTAGTTGTAGTAGTTGTAGTAGTTGTTGTAGTTGTTGTAGTAGTAGTTGTAGTAGTAGTAGTAGTAGTAGTAGTTGTAGTAGTAGTAGTAGTTAGTAGTAGTAGTAGTTGTAGTAGTAGTTAGTTGTAGTGTAGTGTAGTTGTAGTAGTAGTAGTAGTTGTTGTTGTAGTAATAGTTCTGGTAGTAGTAGTTGTAGTAGTTGTAGTAGTTGTTATAGTAGTAGTAGTTGTTGTTGTTGTAGTAGTAGTAGTTGTAGTAGTAGTTGTAGTTGTTGTAGTTGTTGTAGTAGTAGTTCTGGTAGTAGTAGTTGTAGTAGTTGTTACAGTAGTAGTAGTTGTAGTAGTAGTAGTTGTAGTAGTAGTAGTAGTTGTTGTTGTAGTTGTAGTAGTAGTAGTAGTTGTTGTTGTAGTAATAGTTCTGGTAGTAGTAGTTGTAGTAGTAGTAGTAGTTGTAGTAGTAGTAGTAGTTGTTGTTGTAGTTGTAGTAGTAGTAGTAGTTGTTGTTGTAGTAATAGTTCTGGTAGTAGTAGTTGTAGTAGTTGTAGTAGTTGTTATAGTAGTAGTAGCTGTTGTTGTTATAGTAGTTGTAGTTGCTGTAGTTGTTGTTGTAGTTGGAGATGTTATTACTGTGTCAGGAATGTTTCACAGTATGGCATTAAACCTTTCTATTTTCATGGACACCAAACCAGACCAAGTTACAGGTCAGATCTATGGAGAGGCGACCCCGCTCACAGTCAGAAAGACAGTTTTTATTGGTAATTTTGAGCTATAAAACCACCTGTGACTGAATAAATGTAAGATTGAGCTGTTTCATGTCATACTGCGGAACATTCCAGGCAGAGCAATGACATATCTAGACAAACAACGAAGTGACAATGAAAAAGTCACATAGTCCAATGTTAAAATCTGTGTTCCACTTTTCCCTGAATCCAAAAAAATCCAATGTAACGTTCGAAATTCCCAGCACGGAGACAGACCCAAACACACAGGAAGCAAAAGAGCAGCTATTTCTCGTTGCATATCCAGGGTTCCTTGGGTTCAGTGCTGTCGATATCTAGTTCCCGGTGAGGCCTGCTGAGCTCTGGTGTTATATACTGTACTACTGGGAGCTTATGCAGCCTAAAGCACTGACGGAGAATGACACTTCACTTTATGTTAACCGCACACAGGGCATTATTTATAGAGTGAGACATACGCGGGCGCTGGGAGGGGGTATGTGAGCGTACATGTCTGAGAAAAGAAGAGGATCGCCTACAGCTAAAGTTTTAACTTAAATCTCTGGAGTGTCTGCCTGCAAATGTGTGTTTAAATGGAGATATATGGGAAGAGGCCTGCAGCGTTCGATACTGATAGATGACGTGCCTGGAAGCGAGGGTTGTGAAAAGTATAGAAAAATTTAGATGTTAATTGATTCTGAAACTAGTAACGACGGCAGATATTGGTTTGAGCAGGTGTCGATACTACAAAAGTCACATTTACAAGATACAAATTCATCTTTCCTGAATGATTTTGAGCTGTATCAAAAGTATAAGAGCACATAGACTAGTATAAGGCCACAACATGGTAATATGAAAAAAAATATTATAATTTAATGTTGAAAATCACATTCTGTTGTCTAAAAAGAAAGACTGTTTGGTATTTTCCTCATGGTATCAAGTCTAATCCTTAGTATATAAAAAAATGTATAGACATTTTAGTATTGAGTAGGGATGTAACGATATCCAAGTCTCATGATATGATATCGTCACGGTATGAACCTCACGGTACGATATTTATTGCGATATTGTGGGAAAGCTCACGATTAGGGATGTAACGATATCCAAATCTCTCTGTACGATATTTTTCACGATATACATCTCACGGTTCGATATTTATTGCGATATTTTGTGGAGGCAAAACTGTTAATATTCTACTTTTTCCTCTTAAAATGCCTTGACAAGACTTAATCCAAAGAACTAAGACTTAAAAGTGCTTAGATCTGTTATTTCTTCTTGTAGTCTAGACTGAAATGGAGCAAAGGATCATGGTCTATGTAGTTCCCTGTGTCGTTTTTTTAGCCGCTGTTGCACCATAACTCTTAATTTAACCGAAGACACTTGTAATTTGATATATTGTGATGGTCCAGGATATTATTGTGAGAACTTTTAACGATTCCATATCATGAATTATTATTGTTATTGTTACATCCCTAGTATTGAGACATAAATTGAATGAAAATCAGATACGTTTAATGCCGCTCGGTGAAAAATATACTTCTTCAATATAAACACATTTCAGTAACATTTAAAAGATCATTTATTCATTAGTAACAACAGCAAAATACTCGTATAGTCGTATGGTTGTTTAATCGGTCAATAGAGTCTTAATCGACCAAAATTTATGTTATTAGGTTCTTTTTTCAGACCAAGAGTTTGTTTTCATACCTGACAGTTTCGACTGCTCACTAGCATCAGGTATGAAAACGAACTCTAGGTCTAAAAAAAGAACCTAATAACATAAATCATCAGATCAAATGAACCTCATTAGACTCAACCAAAATTTGTTATTACCATTAGTCGACTAATCATTTTATTTTGACAAGGATTTAGATGGAACAACAACAGAAAAGGGAAGCTAGTGAGTGAGAGAATTAGTTGAAGAGTTTTATATCTTTTTTCTGCATAAATAGTTGTTTTGCATGCACGTGTAGTCTTGTGAGTGCAGTTTGATTCAGATACATAAGAGATACGCAACAATTTTTGAGCTTTTGCCACGCCCTTTTCAGTCGACTCATCAATCGGAAGGATGTGCCTTTAGTCGACCGAGAAATTCTTTAGCCGATTACAACCCTAATGGAAAATCGATGTATTTTAATGAAATAACTACATATAAAAACTGCATATAAAGTGTATATAAATAAATCATTTTGGTTAGAAATATGTGAGTATAGCGTTGCATAATGTATATTTTTAAAAATCTAAGCATTATTTTAAATACAAGACAAGTTACTTACTGTCAACAATAATATTTGAAATCAGTATTTTCTAAGAGACACTAATTACCTGTTACAACAGTCTGGAAAATAAATATAGAGGTCACACGATATAAACTAATACATTACAGCAACATGTAATGGCCATTATTCACCATCTGTTTGTACATTATAGAAATTAAATAAATGGGTCGATCTACATTGACCGTGGCATCGCTATGGAAACTAAGAGTCTATAGAAAGGAATGATATGGCTTTAGGCTTCAGGAAAATCAGTAATTATAATGAAATAATAAAGTAATATTTTACAGCTGCCCTTGTTGTGAACTAGAATCAGACTCCAGGCTAAAATAAGCAGAATATAAGCGCTATGAGAAGATGGTAAGAACCTTTCCACACTTTACTGACCCCTACTGGCAGCAGCTGGTATTTTTGAGTCCCCCACAGAAGTATAATAGTGTGAGAACATTGTATTATTGCTAAAAGAAATTATCGCATTAAAGGCTACTTATTTACAGAGATGTGTAGTACTCAGTTACCTGTATTCAGTTTCATTTACTTTATTAACTTTTTAATGAAATTGTACTTTTCAAGCAGCATACTTTTATTCATATTTGAGTAATATTTTTCTTTTTATCGCTGGTAAAATCTGGTATTTTCAATGTTTTGTCCTTCCAGTTACATTCACTTTAAATTATAAATCAGATGTTTCGTCCCAATAGCTACTTTTACTTGAGTAGTACGTTTCCAGATACTTGAGCGACTTTTTGGACTACCACTTTGTACTTCTACTCGAATAATATTATTTTTATTTATTTTATTTTATGTTTTATTTATAATTTGTCAAGTTTGAGGGATTGGATACCCAGCACATCCACAACAAGACAGACATAACAAAATATAAAATTAACACGCATACAAAATAAATAATAAATGAATAAATAAATAAATTTAAAATAATTAATAGAGTAATAATTAATTATTATAATAATAATTATTATTATTAGTAATAATAATAATAATAAAGAAAAAGAAAAGAAAAAAGGTAATATTATTTTGAAGTAATGTTACAAATGTTGTTCTTGGCTACTCTACCCCACCTCTGTTTATATATGTACTTGACTCAAAAACAAAATTATTCCTTCACTTAGTTGGTCCATGAAACATTTTTTGATTTTTTACCATAAAAATTTTAAAGAGCCCATATTAAGCTATTTTCTGATCTATGTTATAATGTTGTTTCCGCATTAAAAACATACCTTGAGTTGTTTTTTTTTTTAATTCACACATGTTTAACACACAAATCCTGCATATTTAGGCACATTTTTTCTCTCAAACAAAAAAAAAACACTCCAAAGAACACAATGTTTTCTGTTTGTGATGAGAAAACAAAATTATAAATCAGAAAAAAGCATAATATGGGCCCTTTGAAAAACTGTTCCAGATCAACAAACAAACACACATGACATTTGTTCATACAATACCAACAAAGACAAACTGAATTCACAAACATAATATAAAAATGTTTGTGCTGAAATTACAGACACAAAAAAGAAGACAAAGGAATATAACGCATTTGGAGACAGTTGTAACAAAACACCAAATCCATACTCACTGTTTTCTATTGTAGGGTCATAGGAGTCCACAAACTGGCCTTCAACGAACTGAATTGTCAAAGAGGACTTTCCTGGAAACAGATACAAAAGAACAAATGATTGGTTTGTTGACCAATGTTAGTGTGTACTGGATAATAAACATGTATATATAGAGTTGTTTTACTGCAGATTTGAGGTGAAATGAAAGGAAAAGGGGGATTATATTATGATTACTTCTTGATATAATCATATAAATAGGGTAAGGACTGTTTTCAGTTTCCTTTTAGTTAGGGTTGACTTTGGGTGATTGAAAGTGAGCTAGTGTTGAAATGAGATTAACTGGTGGATATTACTTAAAGGGCCCATATTACGCTATTTCCTGATCTATGTTATAATGCTGTAGCCAGACTGGCGCCACCTAGTGCCTCCGCTCAATTTCATTTCTCTCCAGCAACTAGGTCAGGAATCAAAATACAATAGAAAGTTCGCAAAAACCTCGGAAGTGCAAGTTCGGGCACCAGCCAATCAGCAAAGAGCCATTTATTCAGTGTTGTCAACGATTCCCGAGATCGAGGATTTAAAGCTGGAATAAAGAGAATGTTTGGTGAATTTTATCAAGGGGAAAGACGTCATTGTCCTTCTTCCTACGGGATTTGGGAAATGCTTAATATACCAGTTACATTACACCATTAAATATGTAACGACCAAATAGCAGCAATTAGTTAAATGATAAAAAGGACCCGTCTACTGTTGAGCGAATGAATTCTAACACTTGAGAGGTCAGACGGTTTCTACAAAGTGAAACCGGCTGATGAATCAGGTCAATAATGTTGTTTTCTCATCAAAAACAGACCTGGAGTTTTGTTTAGTTTTGTTTCATTCACACACATTTAACACAAACTCTGCACGTTTAGGCTGACTTCTTTTCTCAAACGGAATACACTCTGTTCCACGTTGTGATGTCATGTGGTAATAGAAGGCACTGTGTTTTTAATCTCCATACACATTCACTAGAATCATTTGGATAATTTAATAAGACCTGGAATTAGCCATTTCCACTAGAGCTTTGGAGATGTGGACAGACTGATAATAAAGGGTTACTCAAATATGTGTGAATGAAACAAAACACAACTCCAAGTTTGTTTTTGAGGAGGTAACGACATTATAACATGTCTAAAAGCTCACAAGAGTCAATTTTGTGTGATGTAGGACCTTTAAGCTTTTGGGAAAGTGAATCTTAAACTACCACACAGTGAGAATGCATTTGATCATGCTGAGTGCTGGCATGCTAACAGGGCCCGTGTCCTTCCTGTGCATCTCCATCTTGTCCTCTCTCCATCCCCTTCGTCCAGCCGCGTGTCAGATGTGCTTTTACGCGAACATCCCTACTCCGACACGGCGCGGCGTGGCACTTGTGGCACGGTAATGCGTCAAAACCAGCGGTGGTCCTGCTTTGGGTGGGCCTGAACCGACATGGCAGCGTGGTGAACCATTAAAACGCCGCTAGGGTTAGGGTCAGGAGGATGGGAGCGATGGAGAAAGCAGATATCCGATGATTCGCGATGTAAAGCGGGTTTTACGCGCAAAACACGGTTGCGCGACACATCCAACCCAAGCCCGCTATTGCTTTAAGACTATTAACCGCTTTCTTATAATGGACTTGGACGTACCCAAAAGGCCGCTGGGAAACGCTACAGCTACAATCTACGCTAGTTTCATCCTGTATTTCTTTCGCCTGGACTCACCTACGGATCTGTACCCGAGGATGGCGATTTTTCGTGATTTGGGCTGCGGCATTTCTGGCTCGGGTTATCGCATCTACTCCTCGGGGTGTACCGCAACCTCCAAGCGGAGTAGCATCCAAATTCGCAGCGTTAGAAAATCGACATAAAGCCACAAAAACACCACCAGGAATCGTTAAAAGCTAAGAGAGTCACGATGTAAACACTACCACGGCTACTACGAATAGTTATTTTAGGTCACAGGGAAAAAAAGCATGGAGTATCTATACATCTACAATAACTGCGTCACTCCCCTTTGCAATGTAATGAATTAGTAATTGCTACGGCTCACGTGATTGGTCGGGGAGCGGGAAAGGGAGGGGTTTAGAGGCTGGGGTCGAGCTGTGATTGGTCGAAGCTGACGTCGGTCAATTCTGGCTCCGCTGACGCCGCTCGCTGATTGGTTACTCCGCGCGTAAAGGCAGCCTGTGTGGTTGGGACCAATGCCATTCATGACAGGGGGATCGGGAGTAGTGCGTCTGGCGTGACTTCTACAATAAAAACGTGATTATTTTCACATGGTCGCAATTTAGTCATAATGCCGTAGTTAGAAGCAATATGTGCAGACAGGGGAGAGCCGGTGGGTGGGACTCGGCTCTTTCTTTCCAGGCCAGGGAGAAGAAAACTATGAATTGTAGTAGACGAGAAGAAACCATTCATTAAGAGAGTAGAGTCTGCTCGAAATTATTTATCGGACATAGTTTGCTTAAAGAGACAGACAATAAGCAAAAAGTTGAAGTTAAAGATGCGTTGTGTCAAATTTTCTCCATGGAGATGTTATTGCTTTCTCTGGAACATTTCACAGGATGGTTTTAAACCTTCACAGAGACCAAATCAGAACAAGTTACGGGTCAGATCTGTGGAGAGGCGACCCCACTCACCACCAGAATTTTGTTTTTGAGTTATTTTTGAGCTATAAAACCACCTGTAATTGAATAAACATTAGGTAAACAAAGGTAGAGCTGTTTAATTTCATACTGAGGAACATTTCTGGCAAAGAAACAAGAAGGTGAAGGTGATGGGCCCTCCACCTGAAAAGTTACACAATGCACCTTTAACTAAGACTTGGCATGGTGTGATAGTACCTGTTGTAAGAGAATTTACGTAATTTATCTTCTACATACATCTCAGTTTAACATTGACTCACAAAAGCTTTATTTACACCATGATCTTGGCATACCTTTATCTGAATTGTGACATATTGCTTTTGTGCTTTGGTGTGTCAGTGTTAAACTGAGATGTACGTGGGAATAAATTACTTAAATTCTCTTACACCCATGTTTAATGAAGTAGACACAGTGTTCTAAAATCGAATATATCATAAACATAAAAAATTCTATCCAAAATGCAGTGCACATCTTTATCAAGAGCAATACATTTTTCTGACAGATAAAACCTTAATTAACAAAATATTTATAAAACAGAACATTTTAAGCCTTTGAGATGTTGACATACAAATAATGAAGGGTCAATCAAAACATATGTGAGTGAAACAAAACACAACTCCAGGTTTGTTTTTGATGAGGTAACAACATTATAACAGGACTTAAAGCTCATAAGAGTCAATTATACTGAATGTACCAGTTTGCCTGTTTTAGGTTTTTTGAGCAATAAAACCACCTGTAATTTAATAAATATAAAGAATTAGAACCTTTTAATGTCATACCAGGCAGAGCAATGACACATATCCATAGAAACAAGCAGGTGACGGACCCCAACCAAAAAGTTACATAGTGCCCCTTTAAAGGCAAGACAAGTTTATTTGTATAGCACAATTCGTACACAAAGCAATTCAAAGTGCTTTACAGAATAAGAAATTAGGGATGTAACAATATCCAAGTCTCATGATACGATATCATCACAGTATGAACCTTATGATACGATATTTATTTCGATATCGAAGAAAGGTTAACGATATGGTGGGGAGGCTCACAATTAGGGATGTAACAAGATCCAATCATACAACAATAACAGTAATAAGATTTAATCCAAAGAACTAAGACTTAAAAGTGCTTAGAACTGTTATTTCTTCATGTAGTCTGCACTGAAATGGAGCAAAGGATCATGGTCTGTGTAGTTCCCTCTGTCTTTTTTTAGCTATTGCTGCAACATAACTCTTAATTTAAGCAAAGAGACTTGTAATTTGATATACTGTGACGGTCCACGATGTTATTGTTAGAACTCTGACGATATTTCAGTTATTGTTACATCCCTAAATACATTAAAATCACAATAAAAACTAATCAAAATGTAAATAATCATCATAAAATTAAAAAAAGAGAGACATTAAATTAGAGAGACAGAAGGTACTCTACATTAAGTAACTTTCTGTAAATTATTCCATCGAAATATAGAGTTAAAGCCATACGCTGGAACATTTTGCATGGAGCTAGATACATTTACATTTTATAACGTAGTGGAATATTATAGGGGGAAAAAACAACATTACCATGGGAACAAGCAGGTAGAGGCTCTTCTCCAGTTCGAGTAAGAGGCAGGTTTGTGGAGATGCAAGAATTCATGTTTTTCAGTGCAATGAACACAGCCCACATGAAAAACACTATATTTTTATTAAAAAGTTACATACTGTGGCTTTAAATTAGGCCACGTTTTGCCTGGATAGCTACAATACAATACACATAATTTCATTCTATTGAAATATATATGAATACTGTAACACTGCAAAATATATTAGAGACATATATCAGAAAACTACAGGAAGAATATTTTAGTTATAAATATTTAAGTTATTTTACTTTTAAATGAGAAAAATTATACAATGGTCACTGACGAAGAGCAGTTAATACACAGCAATGTAAAGTATTTCATGTAGTAGCCGGTAGCTGTGGCCAGTAATAGTCCTTTGTCATTTAACACAGAAAATAGTCAAACTGTTCTGCTCTGAAGTCTGAACTTTATTTCAAAACCACATGCTTTTACTGAGAAAGGAATGACTGCAGAAAACTCCATTAAAAAGAACCGAGAATATTATTAGCAATTATGAATGAAATTGTAAGAACCCATTTATTTTCTTACTAATCCCAAAGCACTTACAATGTCTGCTACCGAGTATAAATCATCATTACTATCCTCCACATTTCTAATACAGTTTAATACCAAGGTGAATTGCCCAGAGCAGGGGTCACTAAACTTTTTTCTCTGGGGGCCACGTTATTGCTCCTGGCTGTGATGTGGGGCCAGTGTCGGGTCAGTCATATAACAGAATTGTATGACCCAGACCAAAATGACCACCAGCAGACCACAGTACTATATCAACACATAATTCCTGGTAGATATTTGTTGATTGTTACTAGTGGTTTGCAAAAGTTATAAGTACTTCACACTTTTCACACATTTTAATTTGAAATACCACAGATATTCCATTTATTACACTAAATCCACTACAGAACTCTGTGCGTGAGGTGACTGTCACGGTTTGATCTCGAGTTTGTCAAGTGATGAAAATTCAGCAGCAAATGTAAATACGTCATATAATTATTTAAATATAAATATAAATAATTCATATAAATATCAAAAACAAAATACAGCCATGTTATTCTTTGCCATAAAGTAATAATAATAATTTAAAAAAAGGCTATGACAACTTTAGAGGATTGCCTCATAGGGACAGTTCAAGTAGTGGGGGGCCAGTCAAAGGGGCGTGGCGGCCTGGAGCCGGCCCATGGGCCTTACTTTGTTGACCCCTGGTTTAGAGGGTCAGGACTAGATTCATACCATACTCCCTACAACTGTACAACAACTCACCCTTATGTAACAGATAATACTCCCTACAACTGTACAACAACTCACCCTTATGTAACAGATAATACTCCCTACAACTGTACAACAACTCACCTTATGTAACAGATAATACTCCCTACAACTGTACAACAACTCACTTATTAACAGATAATACTCCTACAACTGTACAACAACTCACCCTTATGTAACAGATAATACTCCCTACAACTGTACAACAACTCACCTTATGTAACAGATAATACTCCCTACAACTGTACAACAACTCACCCTTATGTAACAGATAATACTCCTTACAACTGTACAACAACTCACCCTTATGTAACAGATAATACTCCCTACAACTGTACAACAACTCACCCTTATGTAACAGATAATACTCCCTACAAGTACAACAACTCACCCTTATGTAACAGAACTAAACAACTCACTAACAGATAATACTCCCTACAATACTACTCCCTACAACTGTAACAGATAAACTACACTGTACCCTTATGTAACAGTAAACTCTACATGTACAACATAACAATACTACTACAACTGTACACTCACCCTTATGTAACAGATAAAACTCCCTACAACTGTACAACAACTCACCCTTATGTAACAGATAATACTCCCTACAACTGTACAACAACTCACCCTTATGTAACAGATAATACTACAACTGTACAACAACTCACCCTTATGTAACAGATACTCCTACAACTGTACAACAAACTTATGTAACAGATAATACTCCCTACAACTGTACAACAACTCACCCTTATGTAACAGAAAACTCCCTACAACTGCAACAACTCACCATTATGTAACAGATAATACTCCCTACAACTGTACAACAACTCCCTTATGTAACAACTGTACAACTACACTCACTTATGTAACAGATAATACTTACATGTACAACTCACCCTTATGTACAGATAATACTCCCTACAACTGTACAACACTCACTTATGTAACAGATAATACTCCCTACAACTGTACAACAACTCACCCTTATGTAACAGATAATACTCCCTACAACTGTACAACAACTCACCCTTATGTAACAATACTCCCTACAACTGTACAACAACTCACCCTTATGTAACAGATAATACTCCCTACAACTGTACAACAACTCACCCTTATGTAACAGATAATACTCCCTACAACTGTACACTCACCCTTATGTAACAGATAATACTCCCTACAACTGTACAACAACCCTTATAACAGATAATGTTCCCCACAACAACTCACCCTTATAACAGATAATACTCCTACAACTGTACAACAACTCACCCTTATGTAACAGATAATACTCCTTACAACTGTAAAACAACTCACCCTTATGTAACAGATAATACTCCCTACAACTGTACAACAACTCACCCTTATGTAACAGATAATACTCCCTACAACTGTACAACAACTCACCCTTATGTAACAGATAATACTCCCTACAACTGTATAACAACTCACCCTTATGTAACA